TGTCATCTACCCATATGTCCAAACATCCCTCTGCCTCCAGAAACTCTATGACTGGCTTACCTGCGGTCGCCCCAGAAAAAGTGACCCATCCACACAAAAGAGCCTTTCTGCGCCAGGCAGAATGGGCACGGCTATGGAAATGTGCCAGAGCACAGTTAGAGAGCGACTCCGACTCAGATATCGGGTCAGGTGAGGAGCATAAGATTGAGTCGGACAGTGACTCTGATATGGATGCCGCAGATGTGGGCTTTGACCTCCTTCCCTCTACTCAGGCAGAGACGTCCGGAGGTGTCCACGGGGTCCGCCCTCGTGGATCCGTTAGGTGTTCCACTCTTCGACCCGGATGACCTACACCATCCGAGGTCGGCAGAGTGGCTCCCAGCAGACCACGTTGCCACGTTCCTTGAGAATTGGGTAGGGCGTTTCGTTGGGGCATTCACAGCCCTTGACAAGGCCCAGGCCTCCATGAGACGGGTATTCCAGGGGCGGGTCTCCACTAGGGCCGGCAGATTCAGGTGCCGTCTGTCTGGCCGTAACTACTGCCAATCCCGTGGCACGGGACGAGGCTCCTTCCAGCAACGTGCTAACTTCCAGGAGACTAATACCCGTCCCACTTTCTTCCCGTCACGCGGACGCCAGTGGCGATCCAGAGGTTTCCGGAGCAACACCAGTTCCAGACGACATTACGGTGAGTTCCCTCATAACTCGTATTTCTTTTCATGTTTGTGTAGGGGGCAGACTCCAACATTTTTTCCCAGCTTGGTCACTAATTACCTTAGACCCTTAGGTGCTGACCACTGTTCGGGGTTTCCAGATAGAACTAGTGGGGCACCTTGTACACATTCCCCCTCCTCGACCGATCTGCTTCTCACTCCGGGATCGCAGATTGATCGACTAAGAACTCTCCACCCTCCTTGTCAAAGGAGCTATAGAACGGGCACCTTTCAACCCCGCAGGTGTCATAAGCAACATTTTCCTGGTGGAAAAGAAGGGCGGTCAAATGAGGCCCATCATAAATCTGCGCCCCCTCAATTCCATGGTTCGGTACCGCCATTTCAAGATGGAGGGTATTCATCTGCTACGAGATCTTCTCCTACATGGAGACTGGCTAGCAAAACTAGATATCAAAGACGCATACCTGACTACTGATTGCGGTGACATCCCAAGACCTCCTGCGCTTCCACTGGCGGCACGAGATTTGGCGATTTACCTGCCTGCCCTTTGGCCTCTCCTCAGCACCGTGGTGCTTCACGAAACTGCTGCGACCTGCGATGGCCTGGTTGCACAGTCAGGGGGGTTCGTCTAATCATATACCTAGACGACATCCTTCTCATAGCTCAGGAGCACTCCACTCTCCTTACACACCTACGGACTCATCAACTGGAAAAAGTCATGCCTGACCCCCGCCACTCGCATGGAATTCCTAGGGTTCCTTGTGGACTCGGGGGAGGCAACGCTGAGCCTGCCGCTGACCAAGATTCGATCAATCTGCAAAGAGTTTTGCAGAGCCCTCATCTGGCCCCAGGTCACCTTGTGACAACTTGCACGGCTCATCGGCCTACTGGCCTCATCTATACAGGCAGTATTTCCAGGCCCGCTCCACTACCGAGCACTGCAGCGCCTGAAAATAGCACACCTAAGGGCCGGTGCATCCTACGCGGATCTGGTGTCCCAGGACAGCGAAACGAAGGACGAATTATGATGGTGGATCCTCAACCTGTCCGCGTGGAACGGCAAAGCGATCTTCGGCTCGCTGCCACAATTCACCATCGACTCTGATGCAAGCCTCCATGGCTGGGGGGCCCATTGCGAGGGGGTTTCAACTGGAGGCCGCTGGTCGGAATCCGAATCCCTCTCCGGCATTGTGTCCAGTGGCTTGCCTACGCGAATATGAAGATCACACCAAAGTCCACCGTACCGCTTTCCTGCTTTCCACCCGGTATCTAGCACCACATTGTCACACTGGGTGAAGTTGTTATTGTCTCAGGCGGGCATTAATACCACGGTCTTTGGCGCCCATTCGGTCCGGGGGGCCTTGGCCTCTTCGATGATGACGGCAGGTGCGCGTCTGGAGGATCTCATGAGGATGGCCGATTGGTCAAGGGAATTTACTTTCCGGGAATTTTACTTTAGACCGGCCCCGCATATGTTTGCTGCAGTAGTGGACCAGCTTTAAACTTGCAATATGAACCTCCGTGTCTTGTTATAAAATTGCATGATTTTGCTATTATATTGCTATTTTATTAAAGACACAGAGGCGAGTATTGTCCCACCCATGTTATATTTCTCATGTTATGTTTTTATTTTCCCACCCAGTTTGTTGTATGCTTATACAAGTTTCATTGAATGGTTTGGTATGGTAAGTGTGGCCGTGTCGTAACGGGGTTGATTATGTACCTTGACTTGTTTAATCACTCTGAATTGTGGGACTGTAGATTTGTGGGGTTTTGCTTAGTCTGGCCTTGAAATTGGTTGCAAGTATCGACTTTAACCTGTGGGCTCCTGTTCCTTTGTTTTCACAGCCTGATCCGACAAGGTGGAATGCCATGCTTTAGCTTGTGAGGACTCCCCCCGCTGATAGAGTTTGGTCCTACGATCATCCGTTGTGCTTCCCTGTTGTTGAAGTGTTTTCCTCTTCTTGGCGAACAGTTCTACGTTGTCTCCTCATTGGACATTATCGCTGTTCTTGGTTATTGACGTTATTTTGTAGGGTCGCATCTTCAGAAATAGGGAAATGGAAGGGAAGTGCTGCCTATTATACTGGGACCTGAGCGGGGAGGGGCCTATGTTACTGTATGTTCATTATTTTTTCATTCTGTTTGTATTCTTTGCTGCTATTGGTGGACAGTAAAGAAAGGGATATGCAATATTCGCCTCTGTGTCTTTAATAAAATCATGACTTTTCGTCATGTAATAGCAAAATCATGCAATTTATTACTATTTAGGGTGTAAATTGCTTGTGCATTCTTTATCCTGAAGTGCATAACTATGCATTTTTCTACATTAAATTTCTTCAGCCATTTGAGTGCCCAGTCCCCCAATCTATATAAATCCATCTGCAGCAAAATAATATTGTTTACCTTGCATTACTTTACAGAGTTTTGTGTCATATACAAATACTGAAACATGGCTTCAAAGCCATTTCAAGATCATTTATAAATATGTTAAAAAGAAGCGGTCCCAAAACAGAACCCTGAGGGACACCACTTACCACTTTTGTCCAATTTTAAAATGGAAAATGTACCATTAATGACAACTCGTTGTACTCCATCCTTAAGCCAATGTTCTACCCAAGAACAAGAATAATCATCTAGACCAATTTATTTTAGTTTGAACAGTAACCTATTGTGAGGAACAACACCCTGAACTATATTTCTAATTACTTCTTCATAGAATGCAATTAAATTGCTTCAACATAACCTATGTTTCATAGAACTATGTTGATTGTTGCCAATAACAATGTTCTTCCCAATTAATTCCTAAATATTATCCTTTAAAAATCCTTCAAATACTTTCCCTGCTACAGATGTTAGATGTTTTGAAAGTAGGAAACACATCTGCCTTTCTCCAATCCTCCAGAACACTTCCTGAAAGAAAAGAATCTTGAAGATTAAAAACAGAGGTTCACTTGTTTCCACACTTCGTTCCTTAAAGGAAACTTTAGTGCCAGGAAAACAAAGTTGTTTTTATAGTTCCCTATAGTGCCCCACCTTTCAAAGCCTGTCAGCCGGCAGGAGGACCTACTGCGCATGCACAGCGAGCGCCACATTCGCATAAGGACTTCCCCATAAAAAAGGAAAGCATTGTATATGTGGATTTGGGTGATGCTAGGTGTCCTAAGCATAGCCTGACCGTAACAAAATGTCACCTAACCATCTGAAAGTCCCTCAAATGGCTGACTGGCAGACAACCACAAGAGGTGGAGTTAACCCTCCAAGTTTCTCAAAAACTGCTATAATTACCATTGCAAGGTTAAAGGGACACTGTAGGCACCCAGGCCACTTCAGCTCATTGGGCGATCTGGGTGTCAACTCCCATCACCCTTAACCCTGCAAGTGTAATAATTGCAGTTTTTATAAACCGAAATATTTACCTTGAAGGGTTAAGTCCTTCTCTAGTGTCAACCAGACAGCCACTAGAGGGACTTCCGGCTTCTTGGATGACTTTTGAATTGAATAATGCTTTTCTATGGGGAGGTGTAATGCGCGTGCGGCCATTGCCGCGCATACACATTAGGTCTCCCCTGCCGGCAGACATTGGTGGGGGAGGAGCGTGGGGGCGGAGTCAGACCCAGTGCCAAGGGACATCGGCACTGGATTCAGGTAAGTGTCTGAAGGGGTTTTAACCCCTTCAGCGACATGGGAGGGGAGTACTGTAGGGACCTATAGTGCCAGGAAAATGAGTTTGTTTTCCTGGCACTGGAGAATCCCTTTAAGGAACCTGGGACACTGCACCCTGACCACTTCAATGTGGTCTGGGTGCCTATAGTGTCCCTTTAAATACTTGTGGATGAAAACGGTCAGGCACTGGAGCTTAGTTTAACTTTTAGTTGCTGAAGCACCATATCTAGAGTCATCCAATCACAAGTGTTCTGCAATTTGTTTGCAGCAATCATTTGCAAATAAATATATTGAGGGGGAAATGGATATTTAAAATGTCTGCCTCTTCCAGTCTTCATTAACACAACACCCAGTGTTCAGTGTACCTACTTAAATTTTTTTTTAATGTATGGACTTAAAAAAAAAAAAAAAAAAAATTGTGGTTGGTTTTGCTCTCTTTGGCTATAACTTTCTCATGTTCTCGTTTAGTCGCTCAAATTTTTGCATGCATTACTGGCTTTCTTATATGGGATGCCTCTGATTTGTCCAATTTAAATGCTATTTTCTTATTTTTAATCTCCTAGTTTACTCTGCAACTAAGTCACATTGGCTTCAATTTGTTTTTTATATTTATTACCCAGTAGCTAAATTAATTCATTTGAATTTATTTGAATATATTTGCTCAAGTTCTGATTCAGGTATATCCTTGCAATTTATGAATGAGATAGATAGAGAGATATAATATATATATATATATATATATAAAAAAATGTGCACAGAATTAATCGTATACCACTCTGTGATTGCCATTTATGGATTCTCCAATTACACATGAATTTTTCATATATATTTATGTTTTTGACATGTTCATTCATTTCCTGAAACTTTCCAGCCTTCACATATTTCTATATAGATATTATGAGTAATGTTTAAAGGTAAATGCTCATGTAGATCCAGATATCTTTCATTGTATAGTTATGGAAAGTAGAGGATCATCTTCCATGAATAGTCTTGTAATTAGCTTTGTTTGTGTTTTTTCTTTCATTCTTGTGTTTTAACTTCATCGTCCAAAAATGATTGTTGTATACTTGCACACTCCAAAATAAGTTTAGATTTGTTCTCATAGTATTTACTTTATTTCTCATATACAGAAATGATTGTCTATAATACAATTCTTGATGAAAATCTAACTGATAACTGTAAAAATTGTAGTAGGCTGTATTTTGTATGTATTGTGTTAATACATCAATATAGTGCAATTATGTTCAGCGGAGTATTCTTGGTATATATATATATTTTTTTTTAATTCCACTTGTTTTGGAATATCTCAAAAATTTAAACAGAAAAGGCTGTCAGAAAAATAAAATAAAAAAGGACTAACCATTTAAGACAAAAGTAAAAATAAAGCCTTTCCTGAAGTGTCTCTTTGATTGTTGCAAACGAGTCCCATGATATATTGAGTGGTCATTGATTCGTATTCCATCCAAGTATTGCCTCACGAGTGGGCTCTGATGTCACAAATGCAAATTGAATAAGTTGGTAATAACTCTCTCTTCAAACATGTTGTAAGGCGAACAACCATCTTCTCTCATCTGTCTCCATACCTTCACTGAAACAGGAAGAATACAAAATCAAAAAAAGAAATGAAGCCTTTGCGTTTAACCCACCTTTAGTTATGTAGCCTTAGATCATACTATATGAATTGGCATGGCATGATATAAATTAACCAGCAAGGTTTTTGGTAACAGGTCTGCAGTTTGGGTAGGCTGGATGATTAATTAAAAATTACTTAAAATAAGTGACCACGAGGATCAGTTGTGCAGTTGTAAAATGGATAAGCATGCAGTACTAGTTCAGTCATAGTCATCTGCAACTGAAGGCAGATTACCAGTGACAGGGTTAAAAAGTGCCAAAATGCAGTTTGTGAAAATCAAAAGAGAAGACGTCTCTGATTCTGACTGAAGTGACGGTGAGGCATGGAACACCCAAGTGGTGATTTTTATAGCTCCCCTGTATGTCCAAGCCACATGTCTACTTCACTTGAATTAAGTGATTACAATTATTTATCCTTATTTTTGGATTGCCAGATCACCTCCATATGAAAAAAGGCGGCTTTATCCATTTTTTCTGAGTTTATAAAGGACCTCTGCTTACATTAGTCCTAAAATAAAAGTTTATGTTGTTTTCAGCACATAATTCATTCCATACTCACTATATTGTGGCTCATCATCCTCTTCGTCTGGAGGCGACTGCATGCTCAGTCCATCAGACATTTGCTGTGGTTCCTGACTGGGTTCAGGATCAGTCTCGGGTGTATCAGCATAAGTCAAATTAGCAGAAGCTACTTCTTCATAGAGTTTCCTAGCTTCAAAAGTAAGTTCACACAATTTGTGGAAATGATCCTACAGTGACAGGAGAATAGAAATGATCATGTTAACCACATGAAAGGAAGGGTTAAACCGGAGATTCAGGGTAGAGAAAAAGTAAATAAATCTAGTTCACATTACGAGTTAATTTTGCTCTTAATATTATGAGTGGCAGATGCTAGCAGTAGGTCTGTAGAAGAGGTACCCAATGTTGGAATGAAGCATGTAAGGTGCATTACCTACTATTTTGCAATGTGAATTGTTTTGTACTCTTTTTATGCATTTTCCCTGTATGGTTTTGCTCTTCCTGCTTAGAGGGTGAGGTGCAGATTGCAGCAGAAGGTAGTTCATGCTTGTCCCCAAATCACAGACATAATTTTCTTGTGATTCCTTTTGCTTATACATGGACCATGTGCAGAGAATCATTAAAATAAAAACAAAAATATTTAACATTTGGATTTAATGCCAGAATGGGATGGAAAAAAAAAAAGAAGCAGCACAACAAATAGCTAGCTTTTAGCTAGTTATTAGAATGTGCATTGCAGCTTTGGCAATTCCTCTTTAATGGGGATAAAGTCATGGCAATCCAGTGACCTTTTTTCCTGGCCTGTAGTGAACAGCCAATATCCTTTACAGTCCACAGTAATTATAGAAAGATGTCATTTAAACGGCTGCTCACCTGGGCACCGTCATAGCTGAAAATCCCAACGACACTCACTGGTACAGCTTTGTTCACACTACGGCCCAGGGCTTTGCGATTAAGAGCAAATACACAGGGAACATTCTGTTCCTGGGCACAGTCAATGATTGTTTGCAGAGTGTCATCCAATCCACCTGCAGCAAAGAGACACACACAGAGCTTGTACAGCTTTGTAATCTTTCTCCATTATTTTAACACACACGTGCACATTAACTTTGGCTATAAAGCTTTTTCCCCCCCCCCCTTTAGAAAATTTTACAAAAACACGTATCTTAGTGCATCCACCACAGGCTCTAAAATAGCAGTTTCCTTTGTAAAGATGTGTACAATGTTCATTAATGGCAATCTGTTTTAACATGTGCTTAATTGCAGAATTGACTGATTTTAAAGTTGGCCTCATGCTTAACAAACAAAATTAAAAAAAGAACCCAACAAGTTTCGATACTAGTCCATGTAACTGTCAGATCACATAAGAAGAGTCACTAGATTTGCAATTTGGATATTTACTAAATACATACTCTTGACACCAAGAATTCGCTTTGATGTGTTCTATGAGGATGTACTTTCACACATACATTCCTACTGTTTGCAAGAGAAAGCATTGAAATCATCCAGAAGGAATAGTTAAATTAATAAAATTAAACAAATTGGGTCCCCCGATGCAGTATTAACCAGGATCCATAGATATTGTATTTTTTTAATTCATGAAATGGGCACAAGTGTGAGTTAAATGACCACTATAGTGCCAGAAAAACAATAGTTTTCCTGGCTCTGTAGGATCTTTGGGAAGGGGTTAAACACTCACCTTTCTCCAGCGCCGGGCTCTGGAGAAAGGTGCTTGGGACACTCCTCGGCGCTGGGGACTCTCCTCCCTCTTCCGTCATCCGCTGAATGTGCATGCGCGGCAAGAGCCACGCGCACAGTCAGTCCATAGGAAAGCATTTATCAATGATTTCCTATGGACGCTGTCGTCTTCTCACTGTGAAAATCACAGTGAGAAGCGCGGAAGCGCCTCTAGCGGCTGTCAATGAGACAGCCACTAGAGGCTGCATTAACCCTAATGTAAACGTAGCAGTTTCTCTGAAACTGCTATGTGTTCAGTAGGCAGGGTTAACCCTAGATGGACCTGGCACCCAGACCACTTCATTGAGCTGAACTGGTCTGGGTGCCTATAGTGGTCCTTTAATCTGCACAGCACCTTGACTGGTGAAATTTGCATATTTAGTAAATGCAGGTAGAAGTCATTGTTTGGTTAATGATTGCTCCTACTTTCTTTCAAATTTGGAACCAGACTGGTTTTGAATTACTGAACTCAGAGCCATCAAAAGAGGCCAAAATCCAGTGCACATTCATGTCCACGTGGGACCTGTCTTCCTAAATACAGAGATTGATAAAAGTTGTGAATAATGTCCAGTATGTCCTGATTGTTTTCACAATCTGGGCTAAGTTGCGATTAGAAACTACTGAAAAACAATGTAAGTTACTTTTTTAAATCAATAACAAGAAACTAAAATAGAATGCTGGGAACAGCAGTAATACCTGTTCTCTGAGGCTAGAAGGCAAACCTTTAGTATAATGACCTAACTAGCTTTATTTGAAGTCTATTCAGATTATTTCTGATACTACGCCTATAATTTTTTTTTTTTTTTCTCCAGACCAATTATGTTATGGCTTACCAGAGGTATTATTAAATCTGCTACCTACAATCTGCATTTCTGGCTCAGTCCCCCCACCCCCACCCCCTTTTTATCTTGTGATTCAAACAATTAGCACATTTGCTCTCAATTCTCTTCCTGTAAGTAACTACTACTTTAATATAGCATCTATGGAAGTTTGCTTTTAGACTACAATCAAAAGAGTGGTTCAAAAGCTTGCAACCCATATTGTGAAGCTACATGTCTTAATACCATGTACACATTTGCAGAGGGTATTATATCCTCATAGCCATGCTTAAAATTCCAAGTCCTGTGCTACTGCCCAGGCCTTAAAAGTTACTTGCCACTGCATGCTTAGAGTGTACATGACACACTCACCGGGGGAGAATTTCTACTCAGCAGAGCTAGATTATCTCTCGTCAATGGCTACTGCTCTGCTCATAGTGTATACATTTTGGTTTTATGGTTTCATCTAATCAAGTATATCTGATTAAAAGTAATATACGGTAACCAACATGGATGTAAACAAATTTTTTCACATATGTAAAGGAACTTGGTTGCTTATCTATTTATTTGTCTTATATGGTTTTTAATAGTTCATATAGGTTTGTTTTTCTTTTCTTGATTTTCAACATAGCATTCACAGTGCTTTAGGTATTTGTACTATGAACACAGGCATTCTAGACACTTAAGAGCTGACATATAACTTTGTCAATAATAGCATGCGTAATAGTAATAGGAGAGACAAGATAGAGAAGAAAGATGAGAAGTAGGTGTGAAAGCCTAGTTGATAGAGGTCCAAAGAGGTGTGGTGGTGGCCCAGGATTTGAAGAATTCCCAGGGGAGTCCAAAGGTCTCATAATTACTTAGGAAGGCAGTACCCATTAGTCTGTGTGACAAAGTTTGTGAATTAATGTGTCTATTTGCAGGTAACCATGAGGAGTCTGGTGATTTCCAAGCCCGGGAAATACACTTTGCTTCATTTTTAATGTACTGTGAGTACAGATTGGCAAGACTAGATTTTATTTCCTCTAACATTTATTATTTACCTTTAAACTGGCTCCTTTCACAGTTTGGAGAAATTATGACACACTTTAGCTTTCCCAGTTTCAGGTGTTTTAGAACCTCTCTTAGACCCATCACCAAACGCCTCTTTGTTTTGGCTTTCACTGGATCCTTCTGATACATGCGATCCTGAAATCGCACAAGCTCCTGAAGAAGGCATGTCGCACATTTATCCACTTCTTTACTGAGCACCTGGCTGCAATACCTAGAAATGACAAAGTAAACAAAACCTGATTCTTTGTTGTAGTTATATACACACATACAATTAGACAAGAATAAGTAATAAAAATACAAAGCAACATTTAAATAGCTGTGTAAGATTTTAAAAGCCTGATTCTTCGCTGTAGTTATGATGGCTTATGAACAAACGCACATGCAGGTACGTGACTTGCTGGCGCCAGAATGATATTATCGTGTTAGCAAAATATGTATATAAGAGTAGACAAACAAAAATGCAAGCAACTGTTAAATATCTGCTAAAGATAAAACAATAAGGACTAGGCTATCCAGGACTTTCCAACAAACAGTGTTGCATGTACAATGCACAAAGGTTAAATGGTGGTGACAACAATAGTACACTAGTATGCCATATGAACTACTTGAAATTTCTTAAAGGAAAAGTGCAGAGCAGACTCCTTCAGTATTAGGTAAATACATTTGTTATAGATAAAGTTCAGTAGAGAGCAATGGAATAAATCCGATTCTCCAACCTCACTGGACAATTCTAACAGAGATACGTATTTCGTCTGAAGATCCTCAACAGGTTTTAGGACCACATTAACGGCACACTTAGGTTGAGGAAAAAAAACCACTCGTGTCAAGTACAGTTCAGGGAGATCATCAACAGTCAGATCAACCGGTTAACTTGGATGGAATACAAAGGCTCAGAGAATTCCCAATGATATATAAAAGTGATGGGGTAACAAAGTTACAAAATAAAAATGGTTAGAAATCAGATGCAGGGTGTATCTGAGTAAGTGATATATGATAAATATGAGGTGGAAGTAAAAAGCAAACATTGAAAGATTGTTAAACAAAAGGAGTCAGTTTTGTGCCTTTAACATGAAAGGTAGTCAGAAAGTTCTACTCTGTACACAAATGACGCTCTATTAAAAACGAATACTGGTCTCAAAGAAAAGTACATTGCCCTAGTGATACTACAGATAGTGCTGCCACCCTGTAAAGATGAACTGTGTCATACGGAAGCCACCCATCTTTGCATTACTAATGCTCCCATTCCTGTAATGGAAGCCAATATAGTATTTAGAGCAAGGAGTAAGTGTAAAGGAGGTGAAGCTCAGCACAGGTCAGCTTTATTCACGGAACACTGTTATAGAGAAAGCTGATGTAATCCATCATTCAAACAAAGATACAGCTTACCAGAATTACAGAAAATGGAAACGTTGAATGTTTCAAGCTATGTCTTGAGTTAAATGTTATGATAGACAGGATAAATAAATGCCAGTCCCATCAAGTACGATCAAGAGTAAATTAACTTTATTAGTACATACATAGACAAACTCAAAGAAACAAAAACACATTAAGTGGGGCTCTGATCTAAACAAAATTAATATAAACACCTTGTCCTAAAACTTACATAAAAATACATCCAAAATAGCTGTAATCTTGTGTATTGTAACATTTGAGGTTATATTATATTTAAAAAAAAGATCAGCCCTTAAAGGAACACTATAGTCACCTAAATTATTTTAGCTAGATAAAGCAGTTTTAGTGTATAGATCATTCCCCTGCAATTTCACTGCTCAATTCACTGTAATTTAGGAGTTAAATCACTTTGTTTCTGTTTATGCAGCCCTAGTCACACCTCCCTGGCTATGATTGACAGAGCCTGCATGAAAAACAAAAAAAAAACAAAACTGGTTTCACTTTCATTTACCTTAAATAATTGTATCTCAATCTCTAAATTGAACATTAATCACATACAGGAGGCTCTTGCAGGGTCTAGCAAGCTATTAACATAGCAGGGGATTAGAAAATCTTAATTAAACAGAACTTGCAATAAAGAAAGCCTAAATAGGGCTCTCTTTACAGGAAGTGTTTATGGAACGCTGTGCAAGTCACATGCAGGGAGGTGTGATTAGGGGTCATAAAGAAAGGGATTTAACTCCTAAATGGCAGAGGATTGAGCAGTGAGGCTGCAGGGGCATGTTCTATACACCAAAACTGCTTCATTAAGCTAAAGTTGTTCAGGTGACTATAGTGTCCCTTTAATGTATTATTATTTTTTTTTGCATTTGTGTGTGATCTATGTATTACATCTGTGAAGGTTTGCTCTAATTACTTACTCTCGAAATCTCCTGCTGTGAATTTTGGGGACTGCAGGGTTCTCATGTGAAAGGGAAGCGACAGCATTGGTGGTATCCCCTGGTTGTTCCTCAACATTAGTGGTGTTTGTCAAGTATTTCACCTTTTCTGTTACAATAAGAAACAATCATTGGAAGTTCAGTTTGTTCCTGTAGATTATATATATATATTCCACATGACTGCTACTTTCTAACTTAGATTATTTTGGGGTTGAGTGGATATAGGACAAGATGGGTAATGGATGTTCCTCTCCTGTAGCTGTACCCTCAGGAATTTTGTGGGACTATCCAATGTGATTCAATGGCCTGCTCTACATTCTAGTTTGGTAGGAATGGGGGTGTTTCCCCTTAAGGGACATTATAGTCACCAGAACAACTACAGCTTATTGAATTTGAATTTGTTCTGGTGAGTAGAATCATTATCTTCAGGCTTTTTGCTGAAAACATGGTCTTTTCATAGAAAATGCAGTGTTTACATTACAGTCTAGTGATAATTCCACTGGCTACTCCTCAGATGGCTGCTAAAGCTGCTTCTTTGGGCAGTGCTACAGAGTAAGCAGTACTGCCATTCAGTGTCTCCACCCTCTGCATGGACACTGAACTTTCCTCATAGAGATACATTGATTCAGTTCAACTCTACGAGGAGATTCTGATTGGCAAGGGCTGTGTTTGACTTGTGCTGGCTCTGCCCCTGATCTGCCTCCTTGACAGTCTCAGCCAATCCTATGTGAAATCATTGTGATTGGCTAAGACCACCACTTCTGATGTCAGCAGACAGACAATTCACAAGCAGAGGCAGCAGCTTCAGACTTGAATACAAGTAAGATATTACTATATTTAGAGTGGCAAGCGGGGGATAAGGGGGCTAGATAATGGTTTTAACACTATAGGGTCAGAAATACATGTTTGTGTTCCTGACCCTATAGTGCTCCTTTAATGGCATCTTTGTCTTAAAATATATGAGAAGAACGTATATTACCCATCATGATCTGTGTCCACCCAAAATCATCAAAGTCAGAAAGTAGCAGTCATATGAAATATGTAGTGCCATATACTACAATATGTAGCCTTTTATTTTTTGCTGATTAAACATGTGCTGCTAGAAACTACCTTACAATACAAATGGATAAGATATTTGCATTTCAAGCAACTGATTAGAAAATGGCATACACAGACAAGCAATTATCATCCTTTTTTATATTTACCAGTCTCAGGGACAAAAGGTGGAGCATCAGGAGAGAGTGTCTTAGGTTCACATGGCAAAAAACTTCCTTCTTCACCTGATGCTGTGGTTTCTTGTGTCAATGATCTAAGCTGCTTCCGCTGCTCTCTCTCTTTCAAAATAATCTTAAAAATAAAAACGTATTCATTTAAAAATGCAACAATGTCAAAATATCAAAATGAAAAAGCAGAGATTTATACTTGTATAACTACAAAGAATCAACTAAATTATTAAAATGATGGGATAAGAGAGTGAACATCATCAGGAATTCAAACTGAATTTAAAATTTAAGGTAAGAATAGCCAAACTGGAAACATTCTCCAAGTGAGCTATGCTTCCAGTTTGGCTAATTTGACCTTAAATTTGAAAATTAATTTTGAATTCCTAGTAGTTCTCACTTTATTGAGTAAGTCAAAATGTGTTTCTTTATGATGTTAATGGGAATTGAAACATAAGATAAACATTGAGGTAGGAGTGGAAATTAATGGAACAGAATGAGTGGAGTGCACGTGGAAGCAAGGAAGCAGAGAGGATGAGTAATGGAGTAGAAGGAGATAAGTCAGGAGGAGTAGGGAGAGGCAAAGTTGAGAAGGATTTGTACACGGTGTAAGACACAAAAATAGAGTGCTGGCAAATTCAAAGTCAATGAGGAGGGCAAACATGTTCTATTTGGTGTTATGACACATGCATAAAAGCAGACAGTGTAATATGTTAATTTAATAACCCTACTAACCTCAACATCTGAGGAAAGGGATTTAGGAATAATTATTTTAGATGACTTAAAGGTAGGAAAACAATGTAATAGAGCAGCTGGAAATGCTAGCAGAATGCATGGTTGTATAGGGAGAGGTATTAGCAGTAGAAAGAGGGAAGTGCTCATGCCATTGTACAGAACACTGGTGAGACCTCACTTGGAGTATTGTACGCAGTACTGGAGACCGTATTTTCAGAAGGATATTGATACCTTAGAGAGGTTTCAGAGAAGGGCTACTAAACTGGTTCATGGATTGCAGGATAAAAATTACCAGGAAAGGTTAAAGGATCTTAACATGTATAGCTTGGAGGAAAGACGAGACATGGGGGATATGATAAAAACATTTAAATACATAAAGGGAATCAACACCGTAAAGGAGGAGACTATATTTAAAAGAAGGAGAACTACCACAACAAGAGGACAGAGCCTTAAATTAGAGGGGCAAAGGTTTAAAAATAATTTCAGGGGGGGCGGAGCTTGATGGTGGAACAGAGCGGTTGCATACTAGAGAGGCTCCGAGGCAGAACAACGAAATCCAACGGATTTAGGGGATACTAACCTCAGATCCAAAGATCTAGCTGCCCACAACAACAATGGGAAGAAAAACAAAAAAGCTGAAACCAGATCGCCCCAAACCAGGGTCCATCATAGGCGACTTATTCCGTCAGGCAAAAGGTGCGTGCGGACCCAATATGGCTGCCGAGCTTGAGGAATTCTCTGACTCCTCTGGGGACTTCGACGCAGAGGAAACCATCAACAACTTACCCACTGGCAAGCAGCCACAACCGAACAAGATTCCGGGATACTCGGAACCTGTCACGGCATCTCTGCTGAAAGTTATGCTGGGGGACCTACAGAAGGCCTTACAGACAGACGTAGCACTACTGCGGGCGGACCTCACAGGCCTGGTAGGCCGCATAGATGCAGCATAACTAACGGCCACACAACACTCGCACGAACTAGCGGAGCTCAAACAAGAGATAAGTGCTCTTAAACAACAGCAAGCCAAAACAGAACACCGCTTTGCAGCGCTAGAAGACTCCAGGAGACGTGATAACCTGAAAGTGCGAGGAGTTGCGGAGGATGTCCCCACAGAAGAACTCCCACACTTCGTGAGGAGACTCGTGGGAAACCTAATACCCACCAAACAGGCCAAATACAACGGCATATAGGCGACCTTCCGGATCCCTAAACCCCGGAGGGCGCCAGAAGCGGCACCCCGAGACCTCGTGGTGAGATTTCGGAGCACAGCGGATAAATTGGCGCTCCTCGCAGCCTTAAAGGGCTCAGCCACCTATAGATTTGAAAATATGGACTTGTCCTTCTACGCCGACCTGTCAGGGGCAACATTACAATGGCGTAAGACCCTTCAACCATTCACCGCTCTGCTCCGGACGCACCAAATTACATACCGCTGGCGTCGACAGCGCGCACTACAGGTACTGCATAAGAAAATCGTTCACCTCGTCTCAGACCTCCAGGGCGCAAAGGCACTTCTGCCTTCACTGGGACTGCCACCGGCGGAGCTGCATGAGAGGGAAGCCCCGGGGAACCCTGGGGTAACATACCGCTGGGACCTGGCCAAGATAACCCCATTAGTCCCACAGGGAAGGGGCAACACACAAGCTGCAACCACCACCACCTGAGCTGAAAAGAATGCGACCTAGACCATCTTCCCACACAAGCTGGTCAACCAGAAGTGGTACACACTTCCCTGCTAGAACCCCCAACGACTGAGGAGGTTTCCGGACCTCATGACACCCACACTCACCCAAGACTTCTCTCCACAACCAGAGGCAGACACGACCCCCAAAATCGGGACATTCGGCACACCGCCCATCACCCCAAGCGAGGTCCTCCACAGGTGGCCACTACTCTCCCGAACCTCCACCAGCCGCAGCCAGGACCCGGCAGTGCCTACTCGAACGCTAAATGTTGACTCCTATAATCGAAGGCCGTGACGGCAAACGGCAAAACACTTACGGACTCGGACTACAGTATGGCTTAACAGTTAATGTGCACAAGCTATCTGTTGTTGTTTTTTATGCTTGCTTTTTACTTCCTATCACCAGCGTAGACACACAATCCCAGGCCTCAGACCAAAACACACAGTATCCACAGCATTCCACATCAGAGCACTTAGTATATAATGCAGACCTACCACAAAGGTCAGACCCACCACAGAGACCAGGCCAACAAACGCCTCTCCCAGGGTAACAAGGGACAGCAACCCACACGACAGGCCACCAGCCACCTTACCCTCTCAGGCATGCGTTTATCACAAACCGCCCATAGCCAGACCAGACATGCTAGACACGCACAAAACCAAGTTCTCCACAGACACTTCACTAACGAACACACAAGAGGCTAGAAGAGCACACACGCTCTAGCTTATCCACTACACTACCTATTACCTACTATACGAAACAAGAATGAGAATGTCCTCAAGGCTAACAATAATTAAATATAAAATGTGCAGTTTATATACGAAACCACAGTATGAACATAAAACGATTGTTGTTAATGCGCTTGACACAGCTGTTGTGGCGTTTCAAGCTGGTTGTGTCACCTTGTGCACGTGAAAAATAAAGAATTCAAAAAAAAATAATTTCAGAAATTATTACTGTACTGACAGGGTAGTGGATGCATGGGATAGCCTTCCAGCTGAAGTGGTAGAGGTTAACACAGTGAGGGAGTTTAAGCATGTTTAAGCATGTTTAAGCATGCGTGGGATAGGCATAAGGCTATCCTAGACTTAAGATAAGGCCAGGGACTAATTAAAAGTATTTTGAAATATTGGGCAGACTAGATTCTTATCTGCCATCACATTCTATGTTTCTATAGACTGTACAAGCATAACTAGACTGGTAACTGGTTAGTGTAGTGGTACACAAAGTAACTGTACATGTATATTCGCAAGCTTGTTTATGTTATTATTATTGCCATTTATAATGTTATGGTATACAAAGCATACATACATGTTAAGCTCTGTAATAGATCTTGTTTGGCATAATGTAACCAAATTGTGCAACCTTACATAAGGCATGTAATTGTCTCTCGTAATGATCACACAGCGTAATCCACAACTAAGAAGTGCATTGCTCGCATTAGCTTTTGTTCGGGTTATGGTTAATAATATAGACAAATATTGATGTTAGTCAGAATGGTAACACAGATAGGATCACTTCAACAAACAGCTTCTCTGGAAAGAAAATGAACAAAGAGGTATGTCTAAATTAGTGTACAGAAATATTTCCAATTTGACCCTATAAGTTGGCAGGCATATGTGGGTTACCGCTGCACTCACACAGTAAAAGCGGCAGAATACAAATTGGAGATCTTTAAAGTAGTAAAAACACACAATACCTGTGAAAATCACCATTAAAATTAAATATGTATTTGCAGGGGGGAAAGGGTGGAAGGATGTATGTGATATTCAGATCTACTATTATGCACCAATATTAAACCAGACTCGTTGATTTTTCTAATCCTACAATGCCACACCATGTGTCAAACTTCCTTACTCCCTAGACGCTAGATTATATAGGTTGACAAACATCTTTGGCCATCTCTTCCCATGGCCTTAGTTTCCACAATCCAGTCCCTCTGTGTATGGCAGGTTTGGTGTCAAAAGCTTATTCCAGCTGACAAGCAGTTACTTTTCAATCCTAAAACTACTCAAATTGTCATTGGATTTTTTGTCCCCATGGTCGGCCTATTCAAACTTATTTTACTTTTCGCAAAATTGCATTAATACAGTCACAGAACACTCACAAACCTACCTATTGAAATCTGCAGATGCCTTTTTACCTACTTTTGCCTCCAAAAATACTGCAATGTATGTGCAATAGTTTGCTTTTATGAAGTGAGATGTTCTATTGATTCTGTTGTATATGCTTGAAAAACCTTCCAATAAAGAATAAACATGCTCTCAAGTCCTCTCTGCGGACACCTTCGGCCTTAACACTTCCAGAGACTTTGCTTGGGCCCTCAAGATATCTTGAACTATTACCTACATTCTAAAACTTTCTTCTTACACTGCTCTCCCTAAGAAACCACGCTATGCTATATGGTGGTCAAGCGTAAACATACCTTCTCCCGTGCACAGTGGCACGCTGCAGCACCAAATTTATGTTGAGTCTCCAAATGTCTCTGCTACTGAAAGTCAAACAACTTTTCCATTGGCATATGGTGCCAGCTGCTTGGCCCATATTTATCTGGGAGTCTCTCCAACATGCTGGAGATGCAATTCCTTAACTGGTACACCTCTACATATTTTTTGGAACTGTAATAAAAGTGTGGCATACTGAGAGGCTGTGCAAAGGCTTATTTTGGATGTTACGGGGTAAGTACTTCCCTGGTTATCCCAAACGTTTCTGCTCCATATACTCCCCAACGAACTTAAACTGAAACATACATTTGGTTTTACATATTCTGGTCACAGCAAAAACTAGTATAGCTAAGCACTGGAAATCCCCAGAGACTCCTCCAGCCTGCCCACTCATTGATTCTTTGCAAGCCAAATGCAACCATGAGGAGATGTCCCACAGGATTATGGACACATTGCACAATTCCTGAAGAGCATGGGATCAATACCATTTTTGATGTTCTATTATGCACATTCCCACCCACTGTACAGATGATTTTGGTTAATTACACATTAACTAGCCATGTTATGTACCCACTTTACATGGTTGTTGGTGGTATAATATTGTACTGTTTTTCAATAAAAACATTATATATCGTAGAAGAGTCAGCCCTGGTGAGTAGTAATTCACTCCTAGTTAGTGTGCCAGGAAGCCTCAACTTTTAGGTCTGTCTAGTAGTGTAGGATTTGAATTGTTGAGCCCCGATAAATAGTATGTATGGATTCACTTAAATAGAAAAAGTTAAATTATGGTGGAAACAAAAAAAACTATCAAAAGTGCCAAAAAGTCTGCGTTCCAAAATGCAGGGAATTTCGGAAAATCCTCAGTCATACCTCAGAAATGAGGTAAACAAACTATATGCCAAAGCTCAATTTAGTCTCTTAGCATCTCATGAGAAGCACTATAAATGGCAGCAACCTTTGTAGGTCAAACATTATAGATGCCACCTAGCAGCTAGGCATAAAAAAAATAAAAAAATAATAGTGGGCTTTGGGCACGGAGTATACTACACATCTTCTCTGCAGGGTACAATAACACTTTACAGTATAGATTTTAGGTGTGGCAGCACTTACTAGAATTGTGCATTGTGTCTTTTTTTTTACTCTATCCTTGTCTCTTTAGAATAAATTGTTTTGCTTGCATTTCCATAGAAATAGATCAGAATGTACAGCTCAATAGGAAAGTATGCAGATCCCTTCATTTTGTTCATATTTAATGCTGTAGACTTATGCTACAAATTTAAATATTTGTTTTTCACATTGATGTACACACACAATACCCCAGAACAACAATCAAAAAACATATTTTTGACACCAAATATATTAAAAAGAAGAAAACTGAAATGTCACACAGACATAAGTATTCAAGCCCTTTGCTATGACACTTGAAATTTAGCTAAGTTGCAGCCCATTTATCTGGATCATCTACGATATACATCTACACCTGTGGCAAATTCAATTGATTGGACATCATTTGAAAAGGCACATGCCTGTCTATATAAGGTCTTACAGTGGTGAATGCATAGTAGAGCAAAAACCAAACTGTCACAGGCCGCAACATAAAACAACTGAAAAAGTAAAGAGACCTTCATTTTTTCTGAATGCACTGATCAGGCTTCTGAAAAGACAAGGACATTTTATGAATTATTTTTTGTGTGTGCAACAAACTGAAAATTTATGGAACTAGCACACGATAACACATCAACATCTATTTATGTGTTAATTTATCGAATCTTGGAATTATAGTATTGCATATACCTTTTTAAGGGATGTTGGTTTCTTGGCTTTGGGAACTTCTCTCTGCTTTCCCTTCTTGACCATTGGAGCACTAGAATCCAGTGGGTTGTGTGGTCCTGGGCCTGGTTTCAACTGCTGGTGTTTTGTTGTAGTGGCTGGTTCTCTGGTTACCACAGGCATACCACCTCCAACTAAAATACAAGGTAAAATATATGAGAGAATATATTTGAAAACCTTTCCAAATCAACAAGATGAACTAATTTTATTCAAATAGTTATACAAACAATATTATAGGACAGTCTGCTTTAAAAGATTCATTATAGAGCATTGTAAAAGAAATTTCATGGTTAAGGTTTTTGAAAAACTACTTTAAAAAAAGAGATACAACAGACCACTGTAATTTTCCCACTTTAGCGGTTTTATTAAAAGCACACAATCTACTTGTTTACTAAAATGGATATATTTGTAAAGGTAAATGCCCTTGTATTTCCTGCAAAGGAGGCACAATAAGTCACACTGAAGAATGTAGGCTGCCAGTGTTACTGACAGATACTCTCTGCTACATGCACTTAGTAACTTGCTTTTACATGTAACAGACATGTGAATAGAGTTAGTTAGGTTCCGTGTACTAATTTCATATTAAAAACAAAGCTATTTGAAAGCAGTAACAATGAAAGAGCATCTGCAGCTGATCCGCTACAGCTTTCATAATGAGTATTGCTGCAAATTAAAGTGCAAAAACATATTTTGGCTGGTTTGTCCGAATCAAAATCCTTGGATTCATTGAATAAGACTCTACTGGTAAATCCTGAATGAATCAATTCACTCGAATGTGGATTGGTACGGTTCCTTCCTCATATGGTTGTGTTAAAAGTTTAATACAAATCTTTACATTAATATTATTATTAAATATATTAATGGACATGCTTTGCTGGGCAAAGTCAAGTGCACTTGCATGCATATGGCATTTCTCAGCTATATGCCAGAGTGTGTATGCAGACACCCAAGGCATCGTGGGATGGTGAAGTTGCTGCATTTAGGAAATGCTGTGGGGGGTAAGTGTTTTACTTACCTCTGCTGCGTAATTCACTGTGGCAACCTCTGCAATAGCTGGAAATGAGGAACTGTCACTTTTTTGTAATTTATGAATTTGTTTTATAAATTTGTAGGGAGTGTTATCATGTTTGGCCTCAGCATTCCTTATTTAGTACATCACACACAAAGTTTAATAGATGGATATCTTCGTGTCACTTTAGGAGAATAAATTTTGCAAAGACAATCTTGTCTTCCAAAGCCGGAAATGAATCCTTCCACCACTGATATGGTAGCTTTTTGTCTTTTAGAATAGCCATGTAAGAGAACATTCTCGGTATGCACCAGTTCACAGAGTCTGTGTTAAGGGGAGAATCTAGTGTCTGGTAAACATAGTATTAAACACAGAATTATGGAAAATTATATATAAGAGGAAACACAAACTGCTTTTTTTTTATTTTTTATAATTATTTTTGCAGTGCATGAATTTGTGTACAAGCTGGTGGAGACATAGAATAAAAAATACAGGGTTACTATTTTGCTTTTCTAGGTATGGCTCTTAATATCACTGCACTTTTTGGGGGGTTTTGGTTAACATGTAAAGGTAACACGGAAAGTTTACTGGTACAATAAATAGCTTGACAGGATTCTCATGTTTGTAAAGTTAAAAATAATAGAACAGGTAATGTAAGATGAGCACTGATCCTGCAGATACCACTAAGCAAAGTGACAGAGCCTAGTCTGTGCTGCATACAAACAATTTTAGAGGCTAAAGAATACACAGCGAGTTATATCAGGCTAAGCTTTTCAGACAGGCTCTAAGTACAGGAGGTCATGAGTGGTAGTAAATAGTGGCACGCTGTAGGAAAAGAAATGGCAGGAGATACCTAGGCAAAAATCTAATCGGGCATAAACTGTAGACTAGCAGGTAGTGTTATGGGACTACTGGCCTTCTGGCACCCCGACATTAGAGCAACAATACATTCCCCTTGTGTCATAGGCAGGAGAATCAGTTAGACTGGTGCATCTTTCAGATAATACAGGTTTAATGCAACCCATTTACCTTTTCTCCTCCATTCTTATGTGCCCTCTGCCTCCTTGTGGCTCTACTAACAGTGAGTGAGGTCTGGCCTCTACTAAAAGTGAGTCGGCAGGGGGTATTATCTCCCACGTGAGGTGCGTTGCCCTAGGGGGTAGATCTAGGTGCGTATTGCATAGTGTGGTGGCTGTGTGCATGAGGCTTTGTGGTAAGGAGTACGACCTGCCGCTACTTGTGCGGTGATGCCCTAGCTTTACTGGTCGGTATGTTGCGAGAAGTGGCTGTTGCTTGCGTGGGTGGTTGTGAGCTTTGAGCTTATCCGGGTGTGTTTTTTCCCGTAACCGCAGGGTGCGGGGGGGAGAAGGGTGGGTAATCGTATCTGCAAACTGCCTTTTTTGTGCATTGTGTGTATGTATATGTGGACAAAGTCAAATCAAATACTTTAAAAAAAAAAAAAATTGAAGCAGAGTACATACAGTACATTGTGGCAGAACAGGATCAGTTTCATTGACCTTGGGATAAAAACATTTTGCATTTTTTCTTTTTTTTTTTATTATTATTATAACATAAAGCTAAGAATTTTAACATTAACTGTACCAGAAAACACTACAGGCTTAGTGGACTGCTTTGTTTTCTCCGTATTTTGCTTCTTTTCTAGTACTGCCAACATGCCACCCAAATCTAGCTGGACGGGTGCTTTACTCTTTTTGCCACTGCCTTTGGGTTTTCCTGTGTCCTAGGGGGAAAAGAAAAAAAAAGAAAAATGTATAAAGACAACCACACAGAGTGAATAAGTCAATATGCTGTCTAGTGGGAATTAAAGGGACACTTCCCACACATAAAGCATCTCCTCTTTGCAAACAGCTGGGGAGGTTTTCCTTCTGATGGATCAGTTGTGCTCTGCTAGAGTTCACTTGCCTTATCCCCCAAATAAAAGTCTTGCCAGTGAGGTTTTCTTTCCAATTCTGTCAGTTCCACAGTGCTAACAGATGTTTAAGGCGTGCTCTGCTAGAGCGCCCCTGCCTCTAACTCTAAATTCTAAATTTGAGAATTGCCGACAGGTATATACAAATAGAGGTAAAAATTAAAACTTATCTTTTATTTGTTACATTTAAAATAAAGGAAAAGATATTTAAATCTCACACAGTGAAAAGAAGGTACTATCGTGAAGAAATATATAACATTGATAGACCTTATAAAAAAAAAGAAAGAAAATAGAAAAATATATATATATATGTAGCAGACAAACTCTTTGTAGAAAATGGCAACATATATATCTTGTAGTTGCTATTATGAAAGAATAACAAAATGTTATAGAGTAAATAGACAGTCAAAGGTAGTGTCCAGAGATGGGAGTAGCTAGTTAAACTAGCGTATCAAAGAGTAAAACATATATTAAAAGGACACTACAGTCACCAGAACAACTACAGCTTATTGAATTTGTTCTGGTGAGTAGAAACATTACCGTCAGGCTTTTTGCTGTAAACACTGTCTTTTCAGAGAAAATGCAGTGTTTACATTACAGCCTAGTGATAACTTCACTGGCCACTACTCAGATGGCTGTTAGAGATCCTTCCTGGGTCATAGCTGCCTAAAATGCATCCAAACATTCTATATCTCCTCCCTCTGCATGCAGACACTGAACTTTCCTCATAGAGATACATTGATTCAATTCATCTCTATGAGGAGATGCTGATTGGCCAGGGCTGTGTTTGAATCATGCTGGCTCTGCCCCTTTGTCAGTCTCAGTCAATCCTATGGTGAAGCACTGTGATTGGATCAGGCTACCACTTCTGATGATGTCAGCAGACTGTTTGTTTTTCTGAGTCTAACAGCATGCAGAGTTACAGCTTCAGGATTGAATACAGTAAGATTTTTACTATATGTATGGAGGCATGAGGGGCCCATGGAGGCTAGATGGTGGTGTTAACACTATATGGTCAGGCATACATGTTTGTGTTCCTGACCCTATAGTGATCCTTTAAATAGTCCATATTGTATTGACCTAAATGATATGGAGCTATCCAGGTATAGCTAATAGTGATATAATAGTGATATAGCAGAGGTTCTAAACTGTGCCTTCATGGGCACCTAGTTTTACATTAGGTAAACCTACTGACTATGCAGCCTATATATTTAGCTGTCTGTTAGAAAGTAAATACATATGCTGTGCCTTCAAGGGCACATATTTGCTTTAAATAATAAGTGTCTAAGATTCAGTACACTAAATCTCTCTGTCTATAGACTGGTGACTGTCTCTTTCAGGGGCACCTATCATTTAAGTAAATCTAAGCACCTAGAATCGAAGCAGCTCCTATCTTGATTAATATCAGGTAATACTGGCTCAGTATAACGCCGGCTACACTCAAGTATCATATAAATGTGAACCGCTCAACCGGCAAATTGTTGTCAGGGGGAAGTAAAGAACTCAAAATCATTAGGATGCCGACGTAAATCTTGTGAGCCGAGCCCCGATTTTGTTATAATGAACCAGAGTTTATGAAATATTAGATAATGTTCTTACAATGTTGTGTATTGTATTAAATGTTGTGAACACATAAAATTATTATATAGATGTCTAAGGAATTAAATCCTGTTGGTCATTTTATTAAAGCCAGTCAGGGTATAATTTGAAGTACTCTGTGTAAAAATAGATCCTCAAAACAGAATTGGTCATGGGGATTAAAATAAATAAGTACCTAAAGTATAGGCTTTGTTGTGGTAATGAAAATTAGTATTTGTAGTAAGAATAGGATTACATGGATTCAGATAATGCTCTAATATACGAATATTGTGGTTATGGTGCTTTTTTATAGGGTCTATCAATGTTATCTATTTCTTCACGATAGTACCTTCTTTTCACTGTGTGATATTTAAAGATCTTTTCCTTTAATTTTAAATATAACAAATAAAAGATAAGTTTTAATCTTTACCTCTATTTGTATTTACACATGGGCAATTCTCAAATTTAGCAAATCAATTTCTACCAAGGGTTATTCCTTTATAAAGCCTGCATCATAGAGCTCACCATTTTTCCTAATAGGTTTTTAGATATACCCACAATGAAAAAACTGACGCAATAAATGCATGCATGTTTTCATTTGGGGGTACATTTAATAAATTGTTTAAAACCAAAAAAGGTTTTCCATTGAGTATTCCTTTAATACCAAGCATAGTTCAAGCTAGGACTTCTGCATTTAACTCACTATTTGGCAAGTATGTATTTTCTCAGCCAGGTTAATGCAATACCAGGAAAAAAATGGCAAAATTGCTTAATGGGGAACTGTCACATTCCAGGATTTTTAATATTTTCTTTACGAACAGTCATGGGAAAAATAAAATACACCCTCTTTGGATTCTATGGTTTTACATACCAGGACATAACCACAATCTTTTAAAATTAGCTAAACACAACCTCAGATTAACAGCAACACATGACATATTACACTGTGTCAGGATTTAACAAAAATAAAGTAAACAAATGTGGAAAACTAAGTACACCCTTACTGCTTCCATAGGAATTAAGAGCATAAGTAGCAAACAGATGCTGCTATAACTGTTAATCAATATATAGAAGATAGGTAGTTAAGGGATCCTGCTAGTGTACCTAAAACAAAGGATAAATCATAGCGCAATATTGTCTGAAAATATTATAAAGTATGGTGATATATTGCACTCACAAATGCCAGATGATCAGAGCGTTTTATAGGTGCCTCCCCACAATGTAGATAGGGGGCTTGGGTTCATCCTTAGGTTTTAACCGTTGGGTACCTGGGCTAGTTAGATTATCCAAAGCTCTCCAGCCAGACGGATACTACAAAAAACGGTATTTTATTCACCCATAAAAGATATGAAGGTATACAATACATAAAACAAATGTACAAAAAGTCTACCGGTCCTGCGCATTTCGTTCTTATAAAGAACTTCCTCAGAGACCAATTATAAACACACAACAAATCAAAAAGCAATCTAAAAAACGCTCTACCCTCAGTCCTCTTTAAATAGGGCTAATCCCTTAGAGTTCATTGGTGGGATAGTGTGTGTCTCCTCTTCCGCGGCTCCTTATTTGTTGATGGATCTTTATCTCAGATGTAACTCTTTTACCGGCAATCAGATGATTCTTCCGTGGTCTTGTCTTTTTACTTCCGCATTAATTACGTATTTCGCGTGCATTCCATGTCACGCTGATCCATCATGGCCGTGCGTTCCATACTGTGAAAGGTATACAATGACTCCCAGTCTCCCCCCCATGGTCGCCAAGGGGAACGACTTTCACAAATCTAAACAAGAGGGCTGTTAGACGCATATATAGTATGGCAAATGGATTAATTTATCCTATCAATAAAACTAAAAAAAATAAAAAACAAACCATATAACATAAAAAAAGCTTCCGATCAAAGCATCCAACTAATTAAACTTCATATTTTGTACTTAACCTTAACATATTTAATCATCATTTTTTTCATATGATTATATATTAATACATGTATTGGCTTTTATATTTACAATCCTTACATGACTGACAGTGATTTGAGATTATTCATGTGAATATTGTAGTAGTGACAGACACCTTATTACATGTCCATATTGTGCTTTTTTACAACTCATTGTTTCTAGAAAAAAGACATTTGTCCATGGTTCATACCATAATAATGTATACCCATGTGGATGGTTGAAAATTATATGAAAAAAATAAATTGTCAAATATTTCTAAAACCTCTCCAGAGATCTCAAAGAAAGATTTTCTTTCCTCCACTTATTTTTTTCCTCTGATTTTTACTCCACTTTTTTTAATTTTATTTTTAGATCTTTGGAGAGGTTTTAGACATTTTTGACAATTTACGTGTTACATAGTTACATAGCTGAAAAGAGACTTGCGTCCATCAAGTTCAGCCTTCCTCACATATGTTTTTGCTGTTGATCCAAAAGAAGGCAAAAAACCCAGTCTGAAGCGCTTCCAATTTTGCAACAAACTAGGAAAAAATTCCTTCTTGACCCCAAAATAACAGTCAGGTGTCTCCTTGGATCAAGCAGCTATTACCCCACTTATTAGAAATTATATCCCTGTATGTTATGTTTTTGCAAGTATTTATCCAATTGCAGTTTAAACATCTATATAGACTGACAAAACCACCTCTTCAGGCAAAGAATTCCATATCCTTATTGCGCTTACTGTAAAAAAACTTTTTCTTTGCCTTAGATGAAATCTCCTTTCTTCCTGCCTAAATGTGTGACCTTGTGTCCTATGTATAGCCCTGTTTATGAATAGATTTCCAGATAATGTTTTGTACTGGCCCCGAATAGATTTGTATAATGTTATCATATACCCTCTCAGGCGCTGTTTTTCAAAAATAAAGAGATTTAAATTTTTTAACCTATCTTCATAAGTAAAATGCTCCATTCCTTTTATCAATTTTGTAGCTCATCTCTGCACTTTTTCTAGAGCCATGATATCTTTCTATAGAACAGGTGCCCAAAATTGCACAGCATATTCAAGGTGTGGTCTTACCAGCAATTTATAAAGAGGCAAAATTATATTTTTATCTTGAGAATTTATGCCCCTATTTATACATGACAAAACCTTACTGACCTTCGCAACGGCAGATTGACATTTCATATTGCTGCCTAATTTGTTGTCTATAACAATTCCCAAATCCTTCTCGTGTGGTTATCCCTAGTTCACTACCATTTAGGGTGTAAATTGCTTGTGCATTCTTAACCCCGAAGTGCATAACTTTGCATTTCTCTACGTTAAATTTCATCTGCCATTTTAGTGCCCAGTCCCCCAATCTATCCAAATCCCTCTGCAGCAAGGCAATATCCTGCTCACATTTTATTACTTTACCAAGTTTTGTGTCATCTGCAAACACTGATACATGGCTTTCAATGCCTATTTCAAGATCATTTATAAATATGTTAAATAGAAGCGGTCCCAAAACAGAACCCTGAGGGACACCACTTACCACTTTTGTCCAGCCTGAAAATTTACTATTAATGACAACTCATTGTACCCTATCCTTAAGCCAATGTTCTACCCAAGAACAAGAATATTCATCTAGACCAATTTCTTTTAGTTTGAAGACTAACCTATTGTGAGGAACTGTATCAAATGCCTTGGCAAAATCCAAGTAGATCACAGCAAATGCAACACCCTGATCTATACTTCTACTTACTTTTTCGTAGAATGCAATTAGGTTAGTTTGACATGACCTATGTTTCATAAAACCATGCTGATTATTGCTAATAACACAGTTCTTCCCAATGAATTCCTGAATATTATCCCTTAATAGCCGTTCAAATAATTTCCCAGTCACAGAAGTTAAGCTCACAGGTCTATCATTTTCAGGCAAGGATTTTGAACCCTTTTTAAATATAGTAACAACATCTGCCTTCCTCCAATCCTCCGGTACAATACCCGAAACAAAAGAATCTTGAAAAATTAAATACAGAGGTTCACTTATTTCCCCACTTAGCTCCTTAAGTACTTGTGGGTGGATATCGTCAGGCCCCGGAGCTTTATTTACATTAATTTTCTTTAATTGCTGTAGCACCTTGTCTCGAGTTATCCAATCACAAGTTATCTGCAAGTGTTTTGCAGCAATCATTTGTTTATCTCTTGCCATAGGATCCTCATTAATATATACTGAAGAAAAATAGTTATTTAAAATCTCTGTCTTTTCCTGGTCTTCATTAACTAACAGACCCATCTCTGTTTTCAGTTTACCTATACTTTCATTTTTTGTTTTTTTAGAATTTATGTACTTGAAAAAAATTTGGGGGTTGGTTTTGCATCCTTTGGTTATCAATCGCTCATTTTCTAGTTTAGCCACTTTAATTGCCTTTTTGCAAGTATTATTGGCTTTCTTATATCTTATATAGGATGCCTCTGATTTGTCCGATTTAAATGCCCTTTTCTTATTTTTAATCTCTTGTTTTACTTCTCTACTAAGCCACATTGGTTTTAATTTGTTTCTTTTATATTTATTACCCAATGGTACATACTGTGAAATGTACCCATCTAATATTTGTTTGAATAGTTTCCATTTTTCCTCAGTGTTTTTATCACTAAGGAGTTTATGCCAGTCTATATGTTGTAGAGCTTCCCTAATCTTATTAAAATTGGCTTTTTTTAAATTATAGGTTTTAATTTACCCCACGTGCTTTTTCTTTTTTGAGTTTATTTCAAAAGTTACCATATTGTGATCACTATTTCCCAAATGCTTCCCTACTTGAATGTTGGTTAAAAGATCATCATTGTTTGTTATAACAAGATCCAGGCAAGCATCCTTTCTAGTTGGTGCTTGTACCAGTTGTGACATAAAGGTGTAATTTACACATTCAAAAACCGGATTCCCCTTGCTGAAGTACTAGTCCCTCTATCCCAATTTATGTCCGGGTAATTAAAATCTCCAATAATTAACGTGTTACCCTGATTTGCAGCTTTCTCAATTTGCTCTAACAGCAGTTCTTACTCATTAATATTTACATTTGGTGGTTTATAACATATCCCAAGCAATAATTTATTTCCCTTTGTTTGCCCCAAGCAGATATCTACCCATAAAGCTTCCACATTTTCCTTGTCACACTCCACACGCCTAAGATTTGACTTTAACTCATGGCTGACATACAAACATACCCCACCACCCTTTTTGTGTTTCCTATCCTTCCTAAATAACGTGTACCAATTTAAGTTAACTGCCCAGTCATGAGTCTCATCCCACCATGTTTCTGTTATGCCTATATATCATATCATATATATTGTTTAGTGTATGCCATTGCCTCTAGTTCCCCCATTTTGTTATATGGGCTCCTTGCATTAGTAAGCAAACATTTAATATTACCAGGAGTCATTTGTACTTTTTGTGAATTATCAATATTACATACCTGTTCTGTTCTGAGCTTTCCCCTCCCCCCATCTCCACCCCCTTTGTTCTGAGCTAAAGCCCATCTCATTTCTGTCCTATCTCCATTTTCTAGATTGCTTTGACCCTCCCCCCCACTACTAGTTTAAAATCTCCTCCAACCTTCTAGCACAGCAGACCCTCTTCCGTTTAGGTGCAATCCATCACGACTATACAGGTTGTACCCAAGCACAAAATCGGCCCAGTGCTCTAAAAACCCAAAACCCTCTCTCCTGCACCAAGACTTCAGCCACGCATTGACCTCTCTAATCTCCCGCTGCCTTTCTCCTGTAGCGCGCGGCACAGGTAATATTTCTGAAAATATTACCTTGGAGGTCCTTTTCTTTGTCTTACTTCCTAGACCCCTGAACTCACTCTTTAGGACCTTCCATTTTCCTCTTAATTTGTCATTGGTACCAATATGGACCATGACAGCTGGGTCATCCCCAGCCCCTCCCAATAATGCCTCCACTTTGTCGGCAACATGCCAGACCTGAGCACCTGGAAGACAGTAAACTGTCTGGTTGAGTCGATCAGAGTGGCAGATTACCCTATCTACTCTCTTAATAATAGAGTCCCCTACCACCACAACCTGTCTAGACTTCATTACCCTCTTAACCCTACCCGTACTAGAGGGGCTGTTCCCACGGATGTTAAAATGAACAGCTTCCTGCAGTACAGCTACTCCTGAGCTGATGCTCCCAACATCTTCACTCAAACGGGCAAATCTGTTAGGCTGCACTAGCTAAACCTTTCCTCTACCCTCACCCTCTGCTTCCTCGCCCCACTGTTACCCAGCTATGTGCCTGTTCTCAGACTGTCTCATCTCCTCCCACTCCACTACCTGCATCCACTAAACTCTGCTCAGTGAGCAGCAGACTCCTCTCAAGATTGTCATTCTCCCTTAGTGTTGCAATTTGCCTCTCCAGATTTCCAATCCGAGCTTCCAGAAAAGTCACTCGCTCACACCCACCACAGAGGTATGGACCCTGGACAGATTTATCCAGGCATTAATACATGCAGCAGGATGTACACGGAGTAAAATTTTTAATTTTGCTAGCACTCATCCCCAGTTACCAAAAAACACAAGTGAGCAAAAACAATATTTACCCTCTTGGTTTAAACTCCCTTGTAGTTTCAACTCCTGTTTTAACTCCTACTTAAAAGAGACTACTTGAAATAGCCTACTTTCAAGCAAACTCCAGTGAGCAAGCTCTGTGAGTCAGTAGTGGGTTTATATTGGTAATACAAATCCCACACAGGTGGAAATTAAGGGGCACTCCCCCTAATTAGCTCACCAGCACCCACAAGGAGGGAAATAGAAACAGCAAGACATATAATAGATATAATTTCCAAACATCCACATGGGTATATAGTGTTGTTATGGTATGAACCGTGGACAAATAGGTCTTTTTTCTTGAAACAAAGAGTTGTAAAAAAAAAGCACAATATGGACATGTAATAAGGTGTTTGTCACTACTATAATTAATATTCACATGAATAATCACAAATCACTGTCAGTCATGTAAGGATTGTAAATATAAAAGCCAATACATGTAATAATATATAATCATATGAAAAAAAATGATGATTAAATATGTTAAGGTTAAGTACAAAATATGAAGTTTAATTAGTTGGATGCTTTGATCGGAAGCTTTTTTATGTTATATGGTTTGTTTTTTATTTTTATTGATAGAAAGGATAAATTAATCCATTTGCCATACTATATATGCGTCTAACAGCCCTCTTGTTTAGATTTGTGAAAGTCGTTCCCCTTGGCGACCATGGGGGGGAGGGGGGACACTAGGAGTCTATGTATACCTTCCACAATATGGAACGCACGGCCATGATGGATCAGCGTGACTTGGAACACACGCAGAATACATAATTAATGCGGAAGTAAAAAGACAAGACCACGGAAGAATCAACTGATTGCCGGTAAAAGAGTTACATCTGAGGAAAAGATCCATCAACAAATAAGGAGCCGTAGGAGAGGAGACACACACTATCCCACCAATGAACTCTAAGGGTCCTAGTCCTATTTAAAGAGGACGGAGGGTAGAGCGTTTTTTTAGATTGCTTTTTGATTTGTGTGTATTATTGGTTTTATACAAATTGGTCCCTGCGGAAGTTCTTTATAAGAACGAAACGCGTAGGACCGGTGGACTTTTTATACATTTGTTTTATGTATTGTATACCTCCATTATTTTTTATGTGTGAATAAAATACAGTTTTTTGGAGTATCCGTTTGGCTGATGAGTTTTGGATCATCTAACTAGCTCAGGTATCCAACGGTTATCACCTAAGGAGGAACCCAAGCTCCCATCTACATCGTGGGGAGGCACCTATAAAACGCTCTGATCATCTGGAATTTGTGAGTGCAATATATCACAATGCTATATAATATTTCCAGACAATATTGCGCTATGTTTTATCCTTTGTTTTAGGTACACTAGCAGGATCCCTAAACTTCCTATGTTCTATAGATTTATGCTATATGGCTATCAGCTGGGAGATAACCTTGGGAAGCTGTGTATCTGGAAGTTAAGTTTGTTTATTGTTTATTGTTTGCACTATTCATTTAAAACACAGGTGGATGTGTAGTTTGTTTGAGATAACTGTTCATCAGCAAGTATGACCACCTCTATAAAAGCTAAAGTTTTAGAGTGGCACTTTAGTAAAAACCACAGCTTTTATCAGCTTTGTCATTATCTGGTCAACCTTTACTCCCGTTGCATCACTTCTGGGGGAGTCAAGTCTTGAATCCTCTGTGTTGACTCTCAAGAAAAAGTCAACACATGTCCTTTGCACGCCTGGGTGGTTAATTGTTGTGTTCACCTATGCAGTCAGATTTCCATATTTTAATGAAAAGGTTCTGACTTAATGTTAATTACTAGTGCAAGGTAACCTTTTACCTTTCCTTGACAAGAAGATTGGCTATAGCTATGGCTCTTAAAGGGTTCATGTCGGCTTCCAAGGACAGCGAACGGAGATGCCAGAACAGGAAACTCTTCATCATCCTAAAATGGAAAGGGAATATGGGGTGGTGGAAAGAAAGAAGGAACATCTGCTGATTTATTTATTTTTTAAAAGATAAAATACATTTAAACTTTATATTTATCAGTGGGATTCAAATTACAGAATGTTTAACACCATACCATAATGAGTTACAAGGTTAAAGGAACATGCTAACTTTAGAAACAAATTATATTAAAATAAACGTGTTACATGAAATATTTATTTTTAATGTTATAGTGCTGCCAGCACCTTCAAAAATAAAAACAATTCCAATGAGAGTATCAGTGCAGATAATCTCTGATCCCATTCAATGCTGGCTTATGAGAATCACCTGGGACTTACGGCACATGGGTGACAGACTCCACATTCTACTAATTGGAATGCTTCTCGTTGAGAAACTTTGAATGCCATGCTTGTCTATAAGAAGCATTATCAGTGGTTTTGCCGTATAGTGTGTCCTATTAAAGAGCAATTGTCACTTGTTAGTTGGTAACTTGTTGTGAGTTGCTATTAAAAGTATTTAGTGCGGAGAGCTGTATACCAGTTGTAAGTGTAAAAACACCCATCTCCACATTGTTTCTACTTGCAGACATATCTTTTCATGATGTGTCATATACAACTTCTAAAATCTTCAGTGGTGCAGGGTTCCTCAACAATAAAACAATACACCAGTATAAATCTTTGTGATCCTTGATTTATTAAGAGGACCACTATAGGCACCCACACCACTTCAGCTTAATGAAGTGGTCTGGGTGCCAGGTCCATCTAGGGTTAACTGCTATGTTTACATTAGGGTTAATCCAGCCTCTAGCGGCAGTCTCACTGACAGCCGCTAGAGGCGCTTCCGCGCTTCTCACTGTGAAAAATCACAGTGAAAAGACGCTGACGTCCATAGGAAAGCATTAAGAAATGCTTTCCTATGGACCAATTGAATGCGCGCGTGGCTCTTTCTGCGCATGCGCATTCAGCGCTGATGTCGGAAGAGGGAGGAGATTTCCCTGGCGCCGAGGGAGCCCAGCACTGGAGAAAGGTAAGTGAATAACTCCTTCCTCCCCCTTCAGCCTGGTGTGAGTGGGACCCTGAGGATGGGGGGACAGGGACCTAAAGACTCTATATTGCCAGGAAAACAAACTTGTGTGGTCCTTTAAGCCTATATATTAAGCCGGCTTGTAAATGAGCTTGTATGTCAGTGAGCTTCTTTCTGTAGAGTAGTGAGCGTGTGTGTGTGTATGTGTATATACACACACATATATACACACACATACATATATATATATATATATATATACATACATATACATACACACATATAACTGTCATATTTTGTAAATATTTTATTATATATTTTCCAGTGACCAGTATGAGCGAGTGTGAGAGTGATTACACCAAATTTAACACACCTGCTCCCCATTCACACCTGAGACCTTGTAACCCTAACGAGTCACATGACACCAGGGAAGGAAAATGACTAATTGGGCTCAATTTGTTGCTCACTTTTGTGGTCAACGGTTTAGACATTAATGGCTGTGTGTGGAGTTATTTTAAGGGACAGCAAATTTACACTGTTATACAGGCTGTACACTTACTACTTTACAGAGTGTCATTTCTTCAGTGTTGTCACATGAAAAAAAGATATCAAAAATTTACAAAAACGTGAGACAAGAACCACTCACATGTTCTGGAGCCTATATAATATTGGCTCCCTAGGATGAAGCAAAAAGGTTCATTCTACGGAGCCAATATTATATAGGTTCCAGAACATGTGAGTGGTTCTAACTTTTTGCTTATCAAACTTATTTGCTTATTATTTTTAATATCAAACCAGAACTATTCTGTACTGTCTGCACTATTATTTTTTGTCATTTTATGTACCTTCGAGTAAATTATCACATTGTATTTGTGGGGTAAGTTATGAACACCCCTACACAGACCATATAGAACAATTTAGCGCTCCACTTAAAAAGGTATTTTGTATCATATTTTTATTTTATGTAGTGTAGATAAAAGGGTATTCCACATTAAGTGTTGAGCTGCTGATCACCAAGACACTTTATTGTACCACATATTACCTCCCAGCAGATGTAATTTTCCAGTTTTATATTCTGCATTAGTACATTCTTTGACTACGCTGTAATTTCTTAGAAATTCCAACACTGTCCATGTAAGTATTTCATAAAGATTTTATAGTTATGAAATACTCTTTTTTTGAGACCTATACTTGGAGTCCAAGATAAGCAAGAACACTTCTTGTGTTACCCTATTGCACTAATGGATCATGAGGAAGCACACGTAAATGTGTGCGGTTTTCTTAAATTTTTCATATACACATGCACTGTTGGTTAAAACCATGGTCATTTAGACTGTAGTGGAATACAGCAAATAATCAACTACTTGGAGAACTGCAAGTGAATTTACTGGCAATTAATACTACCTTTTAAAACACATAGCATTGGACCAATAATTAACAGTATGTAATAGTAACAGAGGTGATTAACAGTATTTTAGCATGATTAACAGTAGTAGGCAAATATCTGGCATAATAGTAAAAGTTGCCTTTCAAAATTTGACATGCAAAATGTATGATGTACTACTACCAGCAGCATTTGGTCAACATTGGTTAACCTTACCTGAATTCTTGGTAGCTCTTGAACAATAATCTGTTTGTTTGGAGGGGTCTGTGCTTCTTGACAATTATTGTTTGCACTTTGCTTATTTTTTTTCTTCTTCTTTCTCTTTTTATTTGCCACCATTTCTTCAGGCTCTTTTGCAGCTGATGTATTAGGTGTTAAGTGAATCTGTGAAATGCCATCCTCAGGGGCCAAAAACAGATTGAATGTTAAATTGCTAAACAGACTTTGCTCAAAAACAAGGCTTGCTTTACAAAGTACATTATTAACCCCTTAAGGACTGAGCTAAATGTACACGTTGTGATCAAAACAAAATGTAAAAAAAAAAATCAGGAATGTGACTATATGTCTGTTCAGGTGTAATTCGCCTCTCATATTATGTGCACCCACACTTATTATATAATATTTTATTCAGGGGAAACAGAGCTTTCATGTCACATCAAATATTTGGGTATGAAACATAATTTAATATGAATGAAATAAAAAAAATGGGAGAATATAAGAATTTAAAAATTTATTTTAGTTCTACGTGACATTTTAACTGTGAATGTCATAATACTGTTTGCTTTTACTGCAATAAAATACACATATTTGTATTCAGCGATGTCTCACGTGTAAAACAGTACCCCCTATGTACAGGTTTTATGGTGTTTTGGGAAGTTACAAGGTCAAATATAGCATGTTACATTTTTCAGTTTTTTCACATTGAAATTTGCCAGATTGGTTACGTTGCCTTTGAGACCGTATGGTAGCCCAGGAATGAGAATTACCCCCATGGGGGGGGGGGCGGAGTTTGGCCACCATCTTAATGGCCACCATCTAGGGAAGCTCCTGAGACTTGGGGACAATTTCGTTTAATAACAATTTTTTTCAAACGAAAATCATCTTTTTAAAGTACATAGATCTGTCTAAGAAGTCCTGCTCAACATGCAGAAACAAAGAAGTACGGAGAAAAATGTTCCTGCAGCAAAAAAGATCGATAAAACTTCAGTGGGGGTGAGTAAGGGCATGCCAGCCCACCCACGTTCCCCGCCCCACTCAGTATCCCAGCGGCTTATTTCGCCAGGAAAATCTTCATTGGTGTCAGCGGAGAAACAGCCACCCTCCTCCCATACCCTCTCTCATGCCCGTTCATATGCTAGTGCGGCCGGGACCCGCTTGCAGAGATCTGAGAGCGGGGGGATCGCGGCCACACACACAGTGACTCCTGGGGGGTCTGAAAACCGCTCCGAGCATTTAATCAGCTCGGAGCGTGTGCATTCAACTCCTGCAAGCTGAGCAAGCAGAGATAACAGCCGCTCGCGGCTCACATGTAAAGCAGCCCGGTCCCTAGCATATAAAGGAGACCAGGCTGAGGATGAGGAGGCGGGCGGAGGGAGGTCTCGTTCCCCGTCATGGTCCTCTGCCTCACGGCAGTCAGACTTGACGGGGGGGACCTCTTCCGCTCGTTCCCCTCACACAGTAAGTCTTAAAGGGGCAGCAGAGAGCCTCAATGTGCATGATATGGAGGAAGATTTTTTTACTGTGCCCCAAACTTTTCATCATATGGTCACCAACACCGACACCACTAAAATGGATGACAGCATGACCCCAGCTCCAGCTATGCTTAAGATGGCCACCAATACAGCACATACCACAAATGTTCCAACTAAAATGGCCACTATTTCTCCCAAGACAATTTCTACTGGTTTCAAGACTATGACCTATAACCCTCACATGCCGTTAGAAATGGCTGAGGATTTACCACCGTCGGCTGGTTTAATTATCCAATTAATACAAGACCTGCGTGTGGACTTAAAAAATGATCTCAAAAAAGATTTTGATAACATGTATGGGATCCTGGAGAACATTGGTCAACGCACGGAGGCAGTTGAACACAGATTATCTACACAAGAATCCGCTCATTTAGAATTGGAAAAAACTGTTAAGGAGCTACAAAAGCAGGTCAACCAGCAGGCAGAGAGAATAGCTGACTATGAGGACAGGAGCAGGAGCAACAACGTCAGAATCAGGGGGATCCCTGACACTGTAGACACATCTGAATTGTTGAACTATTTTCAAACTATGGTCAAAACAATTCTACCAGAGGCTACCAATCTGGACTTACTAGTAGACCGCATCCATAGGCTACCTAAATCTAACAAGGCACCAGCACCAAAGGACACCATAGCAAGACTCCACTTTTTCCACATAAAAGTTGTACTACTGGGTACTATCCGCACATCAGGTCTTCCTGACGAATACAAAAACATTAAGATCTTTCAGGACTTCTCAGCATACACAATGAGACGTCGCAGGGAATTCCAACATCTCACAACCGAACTGAGACAAAAAGGGATACGCTATAGATGGGGATTCCCTACAAAAGTTCTCTTTAACATGGATGGTCGAAATTTTACAATTGCCACTCCGGAAGAAGGATTGGATTTCATCAAAACTATTAATAGAAGGCAGACTCAATCCCCTGCTCTTTTACCATCAATCCCACAGCATGCTCATAAGAAGAGCAAGGCAAATGACACTTGAACATGGAAGGTCTTGGCTTACAAACTGCCAGGCTTTTTTTTCTTCACAACGTACTGGACGTACTTCCTTTGCTGTTAAACACTTGTTTTCATATTTCTAATTTCTCTTTTTTTTTTGTTTCTCTACCCCGCGCCAACTAACGTTTATGCAAAATGATATTACTTTTATCCTAACACTGGGTCAGGTTAAAGCAGTAGGCAACTCACTTTTGAGTTTTCTCAATACCATGTCAGTCTACAGGAAATTATTTCCCTTTGTCGTTTTCTTTTTTCTCTCATCTTGTTTAACCTGCCTTAACGATTATCTATTTCAGCAGAGACCTATGATAGGAAGGACTTGATTTATTTTTATTTATTTATTTTTTTCCTTGGTACCTATTTTTTATATATTCAATAATTTTTCAGTATAATTGTAGTATTTTGGTTTTGATAGAAACATACATCGGTCCCCTAGTCTCAGGCAGCCTTCCCTCCCCCCCAACCTGGGCCTAATACCCTGAGATGGAGAAATATTTTTTATTCTCCCTCATGGCCCTACTCTTATTAAAGGTTATTTTTTTCTCCCCATATAGTGGAATTTACCCAAGTTTACTACCCCTTATTTTTTTTCCATCCACTTTTTTATATACCGTGAACAATCTAAGAAGTTACCAGGTTCAGCCTTAATTGTTTTAGCAAATTCACTCTTGTTTAAACAAAAATATTTGTTGTTACGATTGTTGGATCTCATAACTCTCCTCTTGGGACGCGGGCCTTCTGGCTCCCACATTTCCATATATTCTCCTTTTAATGACCGTGCACTCTGATTGAGTCATGGTCATTAAACTCATGTCATTTAATGTGAGGGGCCTTAACACCGCTCACAAGAGGCGATTATTGTTTAAAGAAGTTAAATCCAACAAATCGGATATTGTATGTATTCAAGAATCTCATCTTAAGGAAGGAAAAGAGTATAAATTTATGACACTGTTATTCCCATCCCAATTTCACTGCACCTACAAGTCTAAGTCTAGATGTACTTCTATTTATTTTAGTAGGAAGGTGGCCAGCTCTACAGATAAGATACTGATGGATGATGACGGGAGATACATACTGTGGGTCGGTAAAGTTAACAACGTTTTATATACAATTGTCAATGTGTACTTCCCCAACACAGGTCAGCTAACTTTTTTTTAGGAAAATAATGGAACTGGTGAATGAGAACATGAAAGGGATTTTAGTGATGTGTGGAGATACGAATTTTGTTATGGACGGCGACTTAGATAATGCAAGGGAAAATTTAGACACAACCCGCACGAGAGACAGTGACAGATTAGCTGTGAAATGTTCAAAGTATATGGTTGAATGCGGATTGTATGACCCATGGAGATTACTACACGAGAATGAGAGAGATTTCACATACTACTCCGTATCCAAGAACATGTATTCCAGGATAGACAGGTTCATGATACAGGGCACTCTCATATCACACATCTCAAGATCTGATATTTTAGATATTAATTGGTCTGACCATGCTCCCATAACTTTGCATTTAGATGAAAAGGTTTCTTCCTCCCCCAACAGACAGTGGAGATTGAGTGATTATTTGTTAGACGATCCTGAAAACAGATCGCTTGCTGTGGGAGTACTAAATGATTATTTTTTTAATAATGCTTCACACGAGGTTCCTGGCGAGGTGACATGGAATGCGCACAAGGCTGTGTTAAGGGGTCATTTCATTTCTAGGGCGTCTCACTTGAAGAAGAAGAATAACAATAATTTAAGAAACTTGGAAAAAGAACTGTATAACTTAAATCAGGCTAATAAACTAGGTCCATCTTCTTCCCTATCAGCAATGATAGGGGAGATCAAATCAAAAATACATAAAATAAATATAGATAGAACTACTCTCATGGTGAGACGCCTCAGGAAATTGTTTTATTTAAAAGGTAATAAGGCCTCAACTCTCCTGGCGTCCAAACTCCGGCACGTAAATGCCGAATCAAAAATTTCACACTTAATAGATGACCAAGGACAAAAAATATTCCACCCGAATAAGATTAGCGATCAATTTGCAAAATATTATAGCGAACTTTACAATTTGAAATCTGACCTGAACCTCACCCAGCCATCTGAGGCGTCTATTAATTTTTTAGACAGGGTTTCGTTGCCTCGGCTGTCCTCTGATAACTTGGAAAAACTAGAGTGCGATATATCTGAAGCAGAGATAGCCGAGGCAATTAAATGTATGCCGTCAGGAAAGGCTCCTGGACCTGACGGATTTACCATTTTATATTATAAGACTTTTGCAGAAATTTTAATCCCTCACATGTCCAAATTATTTAACTACTATAAGTCCGGAGGGCAGATGCCAGGAGAATCTTTGTCCGCACAGATTGTCACCTTGCCAAAACCAGGTAAAACCCCTGATAAATGCTCTAATTTCCGGCCCATATCCCTTATAAACAACGACATAAAATTGTATGCCAAGATATTAGCGAACCGTTTAACTAGTTTAATACCCCTATTGATCAAGAATGACCAGGTTGGATTCGTCCAGGGAAGACAGGCACCTGACGGAACCAGGCGGTTCATAAACTTGATCCAGCATATTAATTCGACAAAAACTCTGTCTCTGCTCCTTTCATTGGATGCAGAGAAGGCGTTCGACAGGGTACATTGGGGTTACCTATGGGAGACATTGAGTAGATTCGATATCCCACAATCTTTCATCACTGCGATTAAGGCACTATACTGCGCACCCACAGCTCACGTATCGGCCTTGGGTTTCCAATCAAGAACGTTTTCCTTAACTAATGGGACGCGTCAAGGTTGCCCCTTATCTCCGATCCTCTTTGTTCTGGTGATGGAACCCCTGGCCGAATTGATCAGGACAACCCCAGAAATAGCAGGTATTTCAATCAAGGGATCCATCCACAAAATAGGGCTATTCGCAGATGATGTCATCCTAGCACTCAAAAATCCAAAAGAATCTCTGGAATTTCTCAATACAGTTCTACTCCAGTTTGGAGAAGTGTCATATTACAAATTAAATATATCTAAGACCCAGGCCCTGCCTTTTCATTTGCAAAAGTCTGACATGGATGAATTGAAAGCAATATATCCGTTCGACTGGAGGAAGGATTACCTAAAATATTTGGGTATTAATTTATGCAAACATTTACCTAATATGCATACTCATAACTTGAAGGGAACATGGCCGGACCTACAAAGGGAGATGGAGAGATGGGGTGGTATGGAATTGTCGTGGTTAGGAAGAATTGCCTCCATAAAAATGTCGATCCTACCAAAAATCCTGTATTACTTCAGAACCATCCCTTTATCTGTTCCAATGTCCTTTTTTTAACAAAGTGCACTCAACAATGCTTAAATTTATCTGGAACAATAAACTCAATAGAATTAAGCTTACATCCCTGCAGCACCAAAAAACCCACGGGGGCATTGGTGTCCCAAATTTTAGAAAATACTACTTTGCTACTAATGCTGCAGTGGTTGTAAGCTTTAATAACCAAAAAAACAGGCCGAGATGGATGGAGATGGAGGAATCCAGCATTTTCCCCTATCAAATCGGGGAACTACCCTGGCTAAACCCTTCAAGGAGACCTGGCGTATCAAAAATGTTTTTGACTACTAGGACCACACTCAAAGCCTGGGATTTAGTATTCAAAAACAATTGTCAATTGATAAAATTATATAGAGCCATGCCAATTGATTCTTTAAAATATTACATCCCAACCTTAGACTTAGCATTGCTTAAAGGACATCAACTGCATCATATTGATAATTCTTTCCATGGTAACTCTATTTTGTCTTATGGAAAACTCAAATTTAAGCATAGTCTGCCGATCGAATGCAAGGTTGAATGTGAGTTAGTGATTGAGAAATTGAAAGAGATATACAAAATTCCAGAACTTGATAAAAATTACGAAGCACTGACTATATCTCCATTAGAAAAGGTATTTTTAAATGACCCAAACAGGAAAGGCATTATATCTATCTGCTATATGTTACACAATGACAAACCAAATACCAAACTGAAACATATGTTATCTTGGGAGACGGAGCTGTGTACCCAATATAAGTTGGAAGAATGGTTTAATTTTTTCTCAGCACTGAAGGGCCTATCTTTCTGTTCCAATCATCACGAAAATCATTTTAAGATTCTGTATAGATGGTATCTAGCTCCGTCTAGACTGCATAATATGAATAATAGGTACAGCGATAAGTGTTGGAGAGACTGCGGAGGATTGGGCAATATGGCCCACATATGGTGGTATTGCCCAAGACTAACTAAATACTGGAAATCGATACACGATTTAATTATTAAAGTGAACAGGAATATAGATAATTTCACATCTGAACTAGCTCTATTTAAAAAATTCCCTGAATCCATCAGTAGAATAGATAGGATTATAGCAGGCCACATACTGATAGCTGCAACCACATGTCTACCTAGATATTGGAAGTCTAAACATACACCCTCTATCAAGGAAGTACTGACATTAACATTAGAAAACAAAGCATACGAACTATCACATAGAAATAACACACATTTTTGCACAATTAAAACACCACTGGGATCATTGGGAAACCGCTGTCAAAAAAACTCATAACCTGTAATAACGTGTAATGTCACATTATTCAACTTAAGTGCCTTGTACTTTAACAAATTTACTGTTATAATGGATGGATATTCCCCCCCTTTTTTTCTCCCCCATCTCCCAGTTTTCACCCTTCCTTTCCCTTCCCTAATATATTGTTCTTTATTATTTGTAAATTCTGAAAACATTTTCAATAAAAATTATTTGAAAAGAATTACCCCCATGATGGCATACCACTTGCAATAGTAAAACGTATCACAACAATATCATCCATGTAAGTGCCATTTGTGTGTGAAAAAAACAAAAAAATAAATAAATAAATAAAATTACTTTCACTGACTATATCATCGTTGTAATACATTTTACTGTTTTGAAACACTAATATTTGTGTTCAGCGAAGTCATGTATAGGTTGTATGGTGTCTTGGAAAGTTACAGTGTTAAATATAGTGCTAGCATATTAAATTCCCTGGACTTTTGGCCCGGTTTGTCAGGCAGGTCCGGCAAATTGTAATTAATAAAATGACCTAATTATGTAAAATTATTATATATATATATATATATATATATATATATATATATATATATATATATATATATATATATATATATATATATATATATAGTATGTGTGTATACACACACACACACGTGTGTATTAAATACACACGTGTGTGTGTATATATATATATATATATATCAATATATATTAATTTTAAAATACAGTTAGAACAAAATTACACATTTATTTTTGTAATTTTATTTAACGTATTTACATTTATTTTACATTATATATAAATAGATATTTAATCAATATCATTCAACGTGTATTTTGATATTTATATATACACACACACCCGTACGTACACGTATACGTACACACACAAATTCAGACAGGAGCAACATTGATGTAGGGTCGAAACGTTGATGTAGATTGATGAATACTTTTTAATACACTATTGGAAAATCCAAGTGAGTGCTCCTGTCTGAATTTGTGTACCTATTGGCCTGGAGGCACCTGGGTACTATATTTTTAGATTTTTCATTTTGGGGTTGAGTGCCAGAGTCTGGACTTATATATATATATATATATGATCTACGTATATATAATGTTATTTTAAACTGTTTTAATCTTTTATTATTTTTATTTATTTGTTTTACAGGCAGCAGGGGGAGTACCTGTTGGTATTGCTGTGGACTGCTATGCCGTCCATGTGATCGCGAGGACCTTGCAATCACATGGGCCAGGAGGGCCGGATCGGCATCAGGAGGACTCCGCTATGGGATCGCCGGCGACCGAGTAAGTAAATAGGACGGCGGGGACATGCTATGCCGCCCCGGGCGTTAGAGCCAGGTCCCCAAGGACAGCATAGCACGCCGCCCAAGGTTAAACCCCCCCTTCCGACTGCTGACAGTTCAGGACCGCATTGGTAAAGTCCCTTTGAGGACCGGCGGTCCTGAACCATCATAACGGAAATCTATACTCACCCGGTCGCCGTTCCCCGACGGCGTCGGTGTTGCTTGTGGGACTGCCTGCAGCCCAGGCAGTCTCCCTGGCGAATAGGACCCCTCCGCGGATGCCTCAACAGAGCGTCACAATAGGTGTCCAAGTGTCTACCTGCAGGGCACGGTCTGCAAGTGTAAAATAAATTTAAAAAAATTGTTTAAAAAACCATTATGTATGTATGTATATATATATATAAATATATAAAATGTCATACTAAGTGTATTTTTTTTTTTTCTCATTTATCTTTTTATTGGTGCAAGCAAAATTTCAGACTTTGTGCATCGCAGTGCACTCTGGCATACAAACCCAACACAGTCGCAGCTGTGGATTCCGTTTCCCCACATGTTATAGACCAACATCTTCTGTATATATGTTTGAAGCCAATGTTGCTTCCCAGGTAGGTACACTCGCTTTGGATCTCTCTGCTCGAGGGCACTGTGTTATGTGATGTGCCTAGTGTCCTTTTGTGTTGGGTCGGTGCGGGTGGAATTACTGCCTGTAATGCACGTCTGACAAGCTATTCCTGTTTCATTTATTTTTTATAACAAGAACTTGGATTGGGGGAAGATACAGAAAGGAAGAAGGGGAGGGGGGGGTTCCCTAGACAACACTTTATACATATGGTGGTTAAATCCTGTACAACCATTTGTAAACTTGTCACTGCTCCCAACTGATCCTTGCTCCATGTCAGTGTAGGTGTCGCCGTACTGCGGCTCCTGTTCTACTACCTAAATTCCCGCTGGCCAGCAACTCCATTCCCTGTCGTATCTCACACTGCTACCGTTTACTCTATTGGCCATTTTTTCATATGCGCTAATCGTATCCATTTTTTGTGTTATAGCCTCTACTGCTGGGATTTTGTTGCTCTTACAGTTGCCGGCCAGCACAATTTTTGCTACCGTTAGAATATTTAGCGCTACTTTCCTATGAGGGTGAGTGGCCACACTGGGTGCTATGTGAAGTATGTAGTGTTCCGGCTTCTTGGGGAGAGTGATTCCCGTCCTGCCTAGTAGGAGCAAATGGACCTTCTCCCAGTAATCAGTCAGTAGGGGGCACGTCCAGAAAATATGGAACATGGTTCCCTCTTTTATGTTGCATCTCCAACACTTCCCGGACGTGCCCGGGTACATGCGTGCCAGTCTGTGTGGCACCAAGTACCACCTCATTAGCACCTTGCAATACGCTTCCCAGAGTGTGAGGCTTTGCAATGCTTTTTTCGTGGTTTCCAGAGCCGTTAGCCACTCTGTCTTGGGGATTTGGAGTCCCAAGTCCTCCTCCCACAGATTCATGTATGTAGGTTTATCGGGGGCCGCCAAAGTGATTAGTGCGTTGTAGCATGCTGAAAGCGGTTTGATTTGCTTGTGGAAGAGTGCCTGTTTAAGCGTTATGTGGGGTTTGGAGGAGTGGGTGGTGCAGAGTTGGATATGCGAGTGCACTATATTTTTTATTCGAAGGTATTGAAAGATATCCCTCACTGGTAGCTGTAATTCCCTTTGCAGGATGGGGAATTGCTTAATTTTGTCTCCTTCTAGTATGTCTTGGACCCGGGATTCGCCCCTCCCTTTCCATCGGCCTATCGACATGTCTGGGGATAGTATTTCTAGTGTTTCCAAGGGTGCTGCTAAAAAGAGCTCTTTGGGGTTCGCTATGCAAGAGCTCCAGTTATTCCATGCCCTTAAAAGAAACCGTGAACTCTGCAGTTGTTTTCCCCCCACAAACTGGGGCTGTCCCCCTGCCCATAAGTTCCGTGGCAGGTCGCGGGTGGCCAGGCAGGCGCTTTCCATTTCTAGCCAGATGGGCTTACGGGTGGTGGTCACGGAGTGTAAGAGCCTGAGTCCCTGCGGTAAAACGGTTGCCTTATAGTAAGCCTTGATATCAGGCATGCCCAGCCCCCCCACTGGTGCCTGGGAGCCCCAGCACTCCCCTTGCCACTCTCGGGGGCTTCCGTTTCCATACATGTGTGTTTATTGTGCTTTGGAAGAGTTTTAAAAGTTTGGTGGGGAGGGCGATGGGCAAGGTTCTAAACAGGTACAGTATGTGCGGCAGCGCCATCATTTTAATAAGGTTGATGCGGCCTAACCAGGACACCTCGAGTCCTTCCCATTTCTCTAGTGTGGTTCTTAGTTTTTGTATGACCGGATAATGGTTTTCCCGTATGGTGGTCTGAGTGGACTTTGTGAGATTGATCCCCAAGTATTTTAGAGAGGTTTTGCGCCAGTCAAAGGTGTGTTGTGCTTGTAGCGTCGTGACGATAGTGCTCGGTAAATTTATAGGCAATGCTTGTGTCTTCGTTGTGTTGTTCCTATAGTAAGATACCCGTCCATATGTGTCGAGCCTGTGTATGAGTTGTGGTAGTGAGGATTCTGGGCACGTTAGAAATACTAAAACGTCGTCCGCGAAAAGTGCCAGTTTTTTTGTCGCCACCTGTAGTGTGGAGTCCTTATACTACTGGGTCGCGATTTATTAGCCGAATTAGAGGTTCTAGGCCTAGTATAAAAATGAGGGGCGAGAGGGGGCATCCCTGTCGGGTACCATTCCTTATCTCTATTTGATCAGATATAAAACCCGTGCTAAACACTCTGGCCGTTGGATTTCGGTATAGTGCAAGAATGATCGACAGGACTTTCGAGGAGAATCCCATTCTAAGTAGCGTCTGTGTCATATATTCCCACTGTAGGCGATCAAAGGCCTTTTCGGCGTCTAGTGCCAAGATCAGGCCGGTCTGGGACGATAAATTTGCCCAGTCTATTAGATTCAAGAAGTGCCTGGTGTTGTCCCCCACTTGTCTCCCTGGAACAAACCCTGCCTGTTCTTCGGAGATGAGATCTGGGAGTATTTTTTTTGAGTCTCGTTGCGTTTGAGTTTAGCGTAGAGTTTGGTGTCTGCGTTTAGCAGGGAAATCGGGCGTAAATTAGCACAGATAGTGGGGGGTTTGTTTGGTTTGGGCAGTGTCACAATGAAAGCTTCTAACATTTCTTTGGGCATCTCTCCTGATTCTTTTATTGCATTATAGAGTGTGGTGAGAGGGGCGATCAAATACAGCGACAATTTTATATAGTAATAATTTGATAAGCCGTCCGGGCCAGGGGCTTTGTGCTTAGGTAGGGACTTGATGGCCTCTTCAATTTCCTGCTCTGAGAAGGGTTCTTCCAGAGAGGAGCATTGCTCTTGGGATAGGCACGGTAAAGCTACCTGTTCTAGAAATCGTGCGATTCCCATTTTAGTCGGTTGGTGAGTGCCGTGATCCCTGTCTAACTGGTAAAGGGACGCGTAATACCGTGCTAACTCGTTGACTATGTCCTGGGGGTTATATAGTTTTACTCCTCGCTTTGAGGTGATATAGGGTATTTTCGACTGCAATTTTGTTTGGCGAACTTGTTGGGCTAGAAGTCTTCCCGCCTTGTTGCCCATGGTATAATATGTTTGTTTGAGGAACCGCATCCTTTTTTCAGTTTCCATTAAATGGAGAGAGCTTAGTTTTGATCTGAGCTTTGTCAATGTGTCGTGCGTGCGTTTAGTGGGTTTGCATTTTGTGTGCCTCTTCGTGTGTGATTATTTCTTGTTCAAGGCGTGTTCTTTCAGCATTGTGCTGCTTCTTTACTCTCGCCCCCATCTGGATAAAACTCCCCCTTATGACTGCCTTATGGGCTAACCATTTAGCGAGAATTGTTGTCTGGCAAGTCGCATGGGTCTTAAAGTATTCCTGTGTTTTGACCTGTATTTGAAGGAGATTCCCTGGTGTGTCCAGAAGGCTTTCGTTGAGGCGCCAGGTGCCTCGTCCCCTAGCTGGGTAAGGAATTTTTATAGTTAGGATTTGTGGAGCGTGGTCGGACCACGTGATTGGACCTATTTGTACTCTCAATGCAAATGGTAGTGTTCTTGTGTCTAGGAGGCATAAGTCTATTCTAGTGTAGGTCATATGGACGGGCGAGTAAAACGTGAAGTCCTTCTCACGTGGATACAGATTCCTCCACGTGTCATAGTAATCGTGCTCATGAATAAGGGTACTGAGGTGCTGGCCTAAAGCCAAAGAGGCTGGCTTTGGTGGTTCATTATTCACTCTGCTGATATCTAGGGATGGGTCGGGGGAGCAATTAAAGTCCCCGCATATGATGGTGTGTCCTTGTTTGTATTGTGCAATTGTGCGGAACGCCCTGTTTAGGAAGTGTTTCTGTGCTTCATTCGGGGCATATAGTGAGGCTATCGTTATTTGTAGTCCGTTCGGGGAACCCACCAGAACCAGCAGCCTCCCATCCCGTCTAGCATATTGTTTGGAGAGTGAAAATACCCAGTCCCTATGGAAGTATACGGCTACCCCCCTGGATTTAGTCGGTGATCGGGCGTGATAGCTTTGGGCGTATTGTTTGACGCTAAATCTAGGGGTATTGCGGATGCAGAAGTGCGTCTCCTGCAGACACACTATTGCTGCTTTAGATTTACCCATTTCCAATGCTGCCATTCTGCGTTTATGGGGGCTGTTGAGGCCTTTCACATTTAATGTTAGGATTTTCAGTTCGTCAGCCATACATTCTTTTGTGAGGCTGCTTGTGCAGTTCATGCGTGTACGGGTAAGGATGTATAGCAAATGGTGTTGGTGTTGTCCAGGGGGGGAAGGATCGGGGTAAAACGAGGATAACAAAACCACGGGTCTGTAACAAACTCAAGTATATACATAGCGCCAGTATTTTTGTCAGCGCTCTTCCTGGTTTAGGCGCAAGTCGGGTGTTTTGTCCCGTCTCTGCGCGCAAACCTAGGGGTTGGTCTGGTTGTGAGAGCATGCCACCTACGACCTCCATCGGGGTTGGTTTTCCGCCCTGTCCCTTGGATTTAATTTCCCCTGCCCATATGTGTAGTTACCAGTCTATGGGGCCCTGTAATTGGGCAGACATCTATATTTGACTATTATCCATCTTTTTGAGATTGCTAAAATAAAACATTTCTGGGAGTTATGATCACCTTCACCCTTTGTACCCCTGCCCTTGGTCAGCCTATCCTTTAGGGCTCATGTGTATACCTCTCCGTTAGCGGAAGTATTATGTTAAGTTTGTGGTGTCATGTCCCCATACATGTGTGCACATTAAAATATACTCACAACCTTTTCAAAACGTTTGCAAGTGGCAAGCGAGACAGTCATTGTTTATCTTACAACAGTCCTTGTTGAGAGGGACTTGTAAGTCGTCAGATTTGGGAGGTCGAACCCGCCATCTGCCATTCTCTTTGCGGGCGTTTCGGTGACTCCACTGTCGCTCCGTCCGGAGACCTCACTGGAAATAGCCCCCATTCCTTCAGTAATCGCATGCCCACCTCCGGTTCGTTCGCAGTATATGTCCTTCCATTTTTCCAGACAATGATCTTGGTTGGGTACCCCCAGCGATATTGAATGCTGTTGTTCCTTAATGTCTTTGTGACCGTTATAAACTCCCGCCTCCTGCTCATGGTCATTGCTGACATGTGTGCATATAGTTGGACTTTGTCATATGGCGCCAGCAATGTTAGTGCTTTTCTTGCCGCTGCGATTACCGCGTCTTTAGTTTTAAAGAAGTGGAATCTCACCACTATGTCACGTGGCGTATCTTGCGCAAGCCTCTGAGGTCTTGGTAGCCGGTGTGCTCGGTCCATGACCCACTCCTGTTGCGGTATCGTCGGCGCCAGTGTTTTACATAGTGTCAATATGTATGCAGCAATGCCGTCATTTGCCACAGATTCCGGGATCCCTCGGAACCTAATATTGTTCCGCCTCGAGCGGTCTTCCATATCGGCCATCATCTTTTTTAATGCCATGTGCTCGTCGCTTAGGTTCTGTACAGTTTCTGCCAGCGTGTCATGTGCTGAGCAGAGTTCCTCTTGTCTGGCCTCCAAGTTGTTTGTCCGCTCCCCCAGTTCTGATATTTCTTTTTTTATATCATTTGTTGCCTGCCTGAGGTCCCTTTGCAGAGTTACTCTAAATTCTTGCAGCATAAGAAAGAGCTTCCTCTCCGTGACCGGGGCATCGGTATAGAGGCTTACTTCACTGTCTTGCTCCAGGGGGGAGTCTGTGGGCTGTGATAACGCTAGTCCGTCGCCGCCATCTTGTGCAGGCCACGTTTTGTCCCTTTTTTGTTGGCGGACCAGGTCTGTAAGTTTCGTCTGCTTGGCGGGGGCCATTGCTGCAGGCTGCTAGTATTGATGTTTATTTTGCCAGGTTTTAGGGCATGTAGCTTCGATATAACAAGCTGTGAGGTCCTTCACGGCCGGGAGCTCTCACACCATGCGACCGTTCTCCTCGGCCGTTAGCCACGCCCCTAGTGTATTTTTATATTAATATATACATATATTATATACTTATAATCACACACGTATATAATAACAATCTATATTGTGTGTGTGTGTGTGTGTGTGTATATAATTAAAATAAAAAAAAACTTAAAAATAAAAAAAAATTATATATGACATTTATTCTAACTGTATTTTGATAATATATATATTTTATCAAAATACACTTAAAATGAAATTATATGTACATCTATGTATATATAAATCAAAATATTACGAAATATATATCCATATACAAAATTACATAAATAATTTCATAAATATACACGTAGACTTCAAATATATAAACATGCATATATATTTAAATTCTACGTGCGTATTTATGTAATATTTTTACATAATTAAGTGATTTTATTGATTGCAATTTGAGGGATCTGCCTGACAACCCAGAGAATTAAATTTGCTAGGAATGTATTTAACCCTGTAACCTTCTAGGACACCCTAAAACCTGCACATGGGGGGGGTACGGTTTTACTCGGGAGACTTCGCTGAACACAAATATTAGGGTTTCAAAACAGTAAAACATATCACAACAATTATATCAATAATTGTGATACGTTTTACTGTTTTGAAACACTAATATTTGTGTTCAGAAAAGTCTCCCAAGTAAAACAGTACCCCCCATGTACAGGTTTTAGGGTGTCATAGAAACTTACAGGCTCAAATATAATGGTCAAATATTTTTACATTGAAAACTGCCAGGTTGGTTATGTTGCCTTTGAGAGTGTATGGTAGCCCAGGAATGAGAATTACCCCCATGATGGCATACCATTTGCAAAAGAAGACAACCCAAGGTATTGCAAATGGGGTATGTTCAGTCTTTTTTAGTAGCCACTTAGTTACAAACACTGGCCAAAATTAGCGTTCAGTTTCGTTTTTTGCAATTTTCACACACAAAAAAATATAAATGCTAACTTTGGCCAGTGTTTGTGGCTAAGTGGCTACTAAAAGTAACTGGACATACCCCATATTGAATACCCTGGGTTGTCTACTTTAAAAAATATGTACATGTGAGGTGAGATTCAGAGATTTATGACAAATAACAGTGCTACAATGTCACTATTGATACATTTTAAAAATATATATTTTGAAACAGCAATTTCCTACTTGTACTTATAGAAAAAAAAAAAAACATCAAAAAAGCACGTAAACACTGGGAGCTATTTAGCAGTTTTTTCATTAGCTTTTCTAGGTAAGTAAAAGATTTTTTAAGTAAAAGTCAAAAAAAAAAAATTTTCTCCTCAATTTTTCACCATATTTTATTTTTTTTAAAGTAAATTATATCATATGATACAAATAATGGTATGGAAAAAAAAAACCCTTTGTCCTGAAAAAAACAATATATAATTTGTATGGGAACCGTAAATGAGAGAGAGGAAAATTACAGCTAAACACAAACACCACAAAAGTGTTAAAACAGCTCTGGTCCATAACGAACAACATGGCCAAAACAGTCCGGTCCTGAAAGGGTTAAGGACTGAGCCAATTGTACAAGTTGTTATCAAATCAAAACGTAAACAAAACCTTGAATTTACACTAGATGTCTGTTCAGGCGTAATTCACTTCTTTTATATTATGTGTACCCACACTTATATATCATTTTGTTCAGGAGAAACAGGGCTTTCATGTCACATCAAATATTTGTATATTAAGCATAATTTAATCTGAATAAAATATAAAAAAAAAAAAAAAAAGTGAGAAAATAAGAAACTTGTTTTTTTAGTTCTGGATGGCATATTAACTGTGAATGTCACAATACTGTTAGATGTTACTGCAATAAAGTACACATTTGTTTTCAGCGATGTCTCACGGGTAAAAACAGTACCCCCAATGTACAGGTTTTATGGGGTTTTGGAAAGTTACAGGGTCAAATATAGCACATTACATTTTTCAGTTTACACACATTGAAATTTGCCAGACTGGTTATGTGCCTTTGAGACCAAATGGTAGCCCAGGAATGAAAATTACCCCATGATGGCATAGCATTTGCAAAAGTAGACAACCCATGGTATTACAAATGGAGTATGTCCAGTCTTTTTTAGTAGCCACTTCATTACAAACACTGGCCAAATTTAGCCATCATATTTGTTTGTGTGTGAGAAATGCAAAAAACTAAATTGAACGCTAATTTTGGCCAGGCAGGCATTTTTGCAGGCACTGCATAAGCCGGCTATTCCGGCCATGTGATCGCAAGGACCCTGCGATCACATGGCCGGATCGGGCAGAGGGGGTCTGCCTGAGTTCCCAGGCAGACCCCAGGTTCTGCTATACGTTATAATCTTGACTCACCATATTGTCAGATTAATCTGCCTAAATTGCTATTCTTGCTATCTGTGTACTATGTCAAAAATTGTGCAGCCTTATCATATGCCATAATGCTGACTATTTCAAATGTTTGCATACCCTTGCTCCTGCAGGTGTGGTAGTGCAAGCATGTTTGTTACCCTAAGCACAAAACAAAAATAAAGAACACAAAATAAATTTTAAAAAAATGCATTTCTAGCTTAAAGGTTAGCTTAGCCAAATCATACCTTCCAAAACTGAAAATGACCCAAAAACAAATTGGACAATTTATTAAGAGTTTAAAAGGTATCTGTATACATAGGTAAGGTAGTACTGATAATTTCTTAGTATGTATAAGACATATTGATAACTATTTATATAGGTGTTCTGTATGACTTTGTGACAGTGTTTTTACCACAATAAACTATTTCTATAGCATCTTTATTGCAGTTTAACTCACTCTTAATGTTATTGCTGTGGACTTTATTATACACTAAATTATATATTGTTCATCTCCTAAAAAATACATCATATTGCCTGCGGGATATAGATGCCAGAGTGTTAGTGTGCTAATATATCCCCAACAAGCAAACCTAGGAAAACCGTATACATAGTTACGTAGGCTGAAAAGAGATATGTGTCTATCAAATTCAGCCTCACATCTGTTTTTGCTGTTGATCCAAAAGGTGGCAAAAAACCCAGTTTGAAGAGCTTCACAATTTTGCAACAAGCTAGGAAATAAATTATTTATCGACCCCAGGAAGGCAGTCAGATCTCTCCTTGAATTAAGAAGCTGTCACTCCACATATCAAAAATGATATCCCTGAATATTATGTTTTCTTGCAAGTATTCATTTAGTTTAAACATCTGTACAGACTGATTAAAACTACCTCTTCAGGCTGAAAATTCCACATGCTTATTCTTACTACAAAAAAAAACAAAAAAAACCCCTATCCTTTGCCTAAAATTGGATATTCTTTTTTCCAGTCTAAATGAGTGATGTTGTGTATAGTCCAGTTTATGACTAGATTTTCAGACCGTAATAGTTGTCTATGAAGCCCCTTATTCTTGTGGGTGGTGTAGCTGCCCATTTGTCTTTGCAAAATGCCAATGCTTTCTATCCCGAACAATTCTTCTGGCAGTTGTGGCTCAAATCTTTCTTGGTCTACCTGACCTTGGCTTGGTATCAAGAGATCCCCGAATTTTCCACTTCTTAATAAGTGACTGAACAGTACGGACTGGTATTTTCAAGGTTTTGGATATCTTTTTATATCCTTTTCCGTCATTATAAAGTTTCATTACCTTGTTATGCAGGTCGTTTGACAGTTATTTTCTGCTCCCCATGGCTCAATATCTAGCCTGCATGGACCTAATTGCATTCTACGAAGAGGTAAGTAGAAGTATAGATCAAGGTGTTGCAGTGGATGTGATCTATTTGGATTTTGCCAAGACATTCAAATATGGTTCCACACAATAGGTTACTGTTCAAAGTAAAATAAATTGATCTAGATGAACATTCTTGAGTAGAACATTGGCTTAAAGATAGACTACAGAGAGTTGTCAATTATGGTAAATTCCAGCTGGACAAAAGTAGTGTCCCTCAGGATTCTGTAGGCATTAAAAGTCATGTTTCAGAGTAAGCAGATGACACAAAACTCTGCAAAGTAATACAATGTGAGCGGGATATTGCTTTGCTGCAGATGGATTTAGATAGATTGGGGGACTGGGCACTCAAATGGCTGATGAAATTGAATGTAGCAAATTGCAAAGTTATGCACTTCAGGGGTAAAGAACGCACAAGCAACTTACACTCTAAATGGTGCGGAATTACGAATAACTACATACAAGAAGGATTTGGGAATTGTTATAGACAACAAATGAGACAACAATATGCAATTTCAATTGGCAGTTGCTAAGGCTAGTAAGGTACTGTCATGTATAAAAAGGGGCATTAATTCTCAGGAAGAAAATACAATTTTGCCTCTGTATAAGTCACTGGTAAGACCACACCTTGAATATGCGGTGCAATTTTGGGTACCGGTTCTAAAGAAGGATATAAAAAAAAAAAAAATATATAGAAAAAGTGCAGAGGCAGGCTACAAAATTGATCGACTTAATTAAGCATTTTGGTTATGAAGAAAGGTTAACAAATTTAAATCTCTGTAGTTTAGAAAAGAGGAGCCTCAGAGGGTATATAGCATTATACAAATCATTTTGGGGTGAATACATACCACGGTCTGGAAAGCTATTCAGAAACTGGATTATACATAGGGCACACATTTAGACGGGAAAAAATTAGATTTAGTCTAAGGCAAAGGAAAGGGTTTTTCACAGTAAGAACAAAAATTATGTGGAATTCTCTGCTTGAAGAGGTGGTTTTACAGAGTGAATACAGATGTTTAAACAGCAATTGGATAATAATAGTTGTAAAAGCATAATATACAGGGGTATCATTTTTAATTAGCTTGTCGATTCAAGCTTTAATAGCAAGTCAGTAATCGACCTCATGCTGATGAGTTGCATCCGTTATCTGGCTTTGCACCTCTTCCCGAGTTGTGATTCAAAGCGGTTGTATACATGTATCAGACATAAAATCCAAGGAATCCATGCATAACGTGCAATAATGAGGCAAAAAGGCGGTTGTTTGTTGAACTTATTTGTATATGCCCAGAATCCCTTGCAATAGTAACAGCACTGCAAATTTGAGATTTCTGTGAGGAAGGCAAGTCTTTTGGCATATCTGTGTTTAACAATGTATTTAATATATATCTCCAAACAACTCGTAACTCATAATATTAGACTTCTTTCATTCATTCATTTACCTTTCTGTGATCCCGCAATAGTTGTGCCTGATTGCTGATGACTGAACCACTGTGAGGAATTCTTGAGGTAGTTTGCTTCACTTTGCTGGCCCAAGTTTCACTCATAGTTTAACGTTCTGAAGACTAGTGTACAAAACCTGTAAAAGACATACATAAGTACAGTAATTTATTTCACATACCTGGTAAACAAGTTTCTGATATTAGCAGAAATATGGCTGAAGTAGAGACAATAAAAAAAAAATGTTTTAAAAAAAAAAAGTTGAAAGAAACACTATATATAGGGTCAGGAATACAAACATTATTCCTGACCCTATAGTGTTAAAAACACTAGTTAGATGGTTGCCACCCCTTCGCCCCCCTGAAATATGATAAAAACTCACCTTTAATCCAGCATCGTGGAGGTCTGCTGGCGCTAGCTCCGCCTCCTCGGCTGACATTATAATTTTTTTATTTATATAGTGCCAGCAAAATTCCGTAGCACTGTACAATGGGATCATTGGAATTGACGCTCTCAGCCAATCCAATGCTTTCCAATTGGAAAGCATGCAACTAGCTGAGATTGTTTATTCTAATGATCTCCGCC